TGCACAAGCAAAAACAGCATATGATCTCTCCATCCATAGACAGACGGGTTCCCACCAAAAAATAGCTCTGCTTTGGCGCAGGTAGAGTTATGGTGTTATCCAAATGCTGTCTGCAGAAGGTAAATGAATTTTGGTATTCCTAGACACAATATCTGGCAACTCAGAGGGCAAATGAACAATCATATAATTCTTTCAAGACTTGGGCAAGAAAGACCCAAGAGCAGAAGTCAGAAACATGTCTGAAACCTACTTCACAACAGCTATTGCAAGTGTAAAAATTAAATTTTCATTTCATTTCTGAAAAAAAAAAGTGAAAAAGACCTGGAATTCAACACCATGGAATGGTGGGATGGAAAAGAGTAATTTTCTGTTTGGAACTGGCCAAATAAAATGGAACTACAACGTACTTGTCTTCTCCCAAGGGCCAGATGGAAAGGACTGGCATTCTGTCAGCAAGTCAGATCCCCCAGTGTCCAACTGTTCCAGACAGCTGCACTATGCTGTTGTTGTCAACCCCTTCAATCTCAGGAAGCATATACTTGTTCCTTCCTGAAGGCAAAGTATGATGATGAGACAAAGTTCCTGTTAGGCAAAGAGGAGATACCAGAGTGGCAAAGGCAGCAAGCCTGACAAGACATACAAGTTCAGGTTCATGTTCCTTAGGAACATGTATCTGAGTAGTTACTTTGCCTGTACACTGATGGGATTTATATTGCTTTTGAACATGTGCTTCCGATATTGACTGCAAAATGATGCACATGAGATGATGATACAATCTTTAAGAGACTCATACAGATACTTTAAATTGTCATAAACTAAACTGCACTTGAACACAGTTGTTGGCAGTAGCTTTCCTTTCATGCAGTTTTGATGTTCTGCTGTGCACAGCTTTTCAGAGATAAGGCCTGAAGAGTCACTGCATGCATGTTTGCAGTGACTTTTTGAGGACTACACACATGCACACACACACACAGAATGCCCTGTCAGCAGGAATAACACAACTTGTGGGCTCTAAGAAATCTTTAGACCTGAACAGGTTGAACTGAGAATGAACAGAACTAAATGCAGTGCTAGGAAGCAAAGTTCTGGGGTCAAAGCTGCAGACTCATCAGCTCTGGTTTGCTGGGGACCCATTTCACACAAACACACGGACTAGAAGGTACTGCAAACAAAATCGGAGGCAAGCAACTTAAAGACAAACTCGGATTTTAGTCATTCATGATTAATAGAACGTTGAATTTAACTTTTCACTTCCTAGCTTAGATATACTGCACCAGTTTCTGCACAGACTGAACTCCTTCAGATTCTGGATCCTTAGTTTGGATTCCTATTATCTGAGGCACAGGAGATGCAGCCATCTTGTTTTACAGTCCATTACAGAAGGAGAATATGGTATGTATTTTCACTGGGCAAATCAAGCGTTCAGCAAAGTATTCTTGGCCTTCAGGATTCCTGGGTTCAGCCTGTGGTTTGGAGGGGAACAAGCAAAGGAGCCCGACTTTGCTCAATCCCTTCGGATTTCAAAATGAATCAGAGGCATCAGATTGAAACAATAATGAGTTTCTCTGCCCAATTAATATGTTTCCTTAAGCACGGGCACAACCAGCAGCTTCTCCTTAACGACTTCCCAGAGCTTTCACCGGCTGTACTTGCCGCCGGCTGCAGGCACCAGCCGCCCTCTGAAGTCCGTGCACGCTGCAGGCCAGCAGCCGGTTTCAGCGGCTGGGTCTCTCCATCCGGCTGCGTCCCTCTGACCGAGTCACGGAGGCTCCTCTCGTACCGCGCACCGCCCGAGACCGCCGCCCGCTGCACCTGGCGCGCGCGCCGCCCGCCGCAGCCATATCCCCCAGCTCGGAGGAGGGCGCCGGGCCGGTCACCGTTTCCCCCCCGCCCTGCTCCCCGCAGACCATCGCTCCCGCGGGCTGTCCGGATGCACGGGAGGGGAGGGGAGGGGAGCGGAGCGGAGCAGCGCAGCTCCCGCTGCCAGGCCCGGGCGGGCCGCAGCACCGTCACCCACCCCCTCCCACCACGCGCCATCCCGCGCGCTCCCGTCACGCGGCGGAAGAGAAGCTGCGGCGGCCCGCGCCATGACTCTCTCGTCACGTGCGGCGGCCCGGCCAATGGGCAGTGAACGCCTCAGCCCCGCCCCTCCGCTCGGGGGCGGCTGCGGGAGGAGGAGGCGGCGGCGGCGGCGGCGGGGCGCGACCGCGATTGCCATCGCGGCGGAGACAAAGCGGGGCGGGGGGCGCGCGGCGCCCCAGAGCAGCAGCAGCAGCCGTTAGCCAGCGGGCGCAGCACGGCGGGGGGCCCCGCCCCGCCTTGCGGTGCGGTGCTGGCCGTCCGGCGGGGGCAGTGACCGCCGGCAGGGGGGGGCGGGCGGGGAGGCCTCGAGGCGCACGCGGCCCGGCCGCCGCCGCAATGGCCTTGGCTAATTACAGCAGCCTGAACCGGGCGCAGCTCACCTTCGAGTACCTGCACACCAACTCGTGAGTACCGGGGCGGGCCGCGTGGCGGCCGCCGGGCAGGGCTGCCGTGGGGCGGGGCTGGGGCCGCGCTGCCCGCCCCTCCCCCGGTGCCCGTGACTGTGGGTGATTACGGGGGCGCCCGGCCGAGGCCCCGCAGCACCGCGCTGCCCGCCCTTTTCCCCGCTCGTCCCGGGCGCCTCGCGGGCTGTTAACGGCTCCGCTGCCGCGCACGGGGGGCGGGCGTGCGGATCTGGGGAGTAACAGTGGCTGGAGAGCACGGACCGCTGGGGGTTCAAGGGTGCCGCCTCGAGGGCAGCCGTAGTCTCAGGAACGTGCCCTTGCAGTGCAGGCGCTGCCATCCCTCCAGCAGCACATTTCATTCGTGCCTGAATATTTCGTGCAGGTATATTTCAAGCAGGAATATGACGTTCTTCTTGTGATCGCTTTTTTGAAGCTGCTGTGGCTTTTTCGTGTCGCTGATGAGTCCTCCAAACTAAAATCTTCCGAGAAGAGACAAAGTTCTTTTTCAGAGGGAGTTATATCAGGGTGCCTTTCTCGAAAATGACAAGCACCGCCAGGAAATGGTGTTTACCAGGGTTAAGCACTCATCTTCCTGTTGCACCTAAGTTTTGTAGTGCCACATACAGAAGAGTTTAAAGAGAGCTTGTTCTGGCTGAACTGCCTTGGAAGAACAGTGTGGAACCACACTTGGCATTTCCTCATATTGATCAGCTGATCACCAGCGTAAGGTTATCTTCTAATGACTCATGGAAGAGTTGACTTACTGCTGCCATCAATAGAAGAAGAAATAAAGTGCAGGCTTAACTATTCATTTCCTTTGTGTGAACATAAGCTTAGAATGGAGGACCACAGTGGTCTGCAGCAGTCTGAAGAATTCTGATTTATGATCAACTTCATTGCAAAGTAGGTTTTGTTGATAACTCCGGATACATCTGCAAGAGCAACTAAGATGAATCTCCTATGCCAAGAGCATTATAACCCGTTTCTTTTCAGAATCAGGAAGATAATGGTTTTTGCACAGGAGAAGAAACCTAGGAACAGCCTGGTGTCACCCTTGGATCCATGTCCTGTGGCTTCGCTCTCTTTCTTGACTGGTAGTGGTTACATGTGCAGTGAACAGTCTGGTCCCTGAAGACAATGGATGAAACTGACTCATGTTCTTGGTGCTGTCACTGATTTGTGAAATTCTCATATCCAGCTGCAGGAAACAAACTTTTTTATAGATTGGAAGACCATACGGCAGAGCTCTGTCAGCAGCTTGTGTTTGCCTGCAGAACACCAGAAAGCTGTTCATAAGAAGTTAATGTTTGTGCTGCAGAAGAAGCTGATGTATTGCTGCCCCTAAGTACCAAATACTAAAGCTACTTCATGTTGCCACCATACTTCCTGTTCTGCTTGTGCTGCTGGTCTCTTTCCAGTGTGTCACATGTCTGCATTGTATAACTACATTACAAAATTTTTAGGAGGAGGTGGAAGCTAATGAGTATGAGCAAGCCAGAGCCAGGGCTTTTGGTGCATCATGAGTGAAGAGCCTCTTCAGATACGGGAATAAGCATAAGACAAATGCTTCACTAAGAATGAGAGTGAAAAAACTTGAGTCATTATAAAAGCAAAAAAACCCCAAACCACTCAAACCAACCCATGACAAATAAACACCCTCCCCCACTCCCTCAAGAAAAAAATGAGAAAAAACCCACAAACCACACAAAACCAACCTATGAGCAGCATAGGGCTTTTGATTATGGAGACTCCCGTCTTTTGGACTGCTCTCTCTTGCTAGGAAAGCCTTACCATCTCAGAAAAAAAATTATTTCAGTGCTAAAGGTGTTCTTACAGTCATGGAGGTAGAAGTTCCTCAAATTGTAGTTAAAAATCAGCTATCTGGCTGTTGAGGTGCAGAAGGAAGCCATGACTTCTCTTTCTTTCTCCTTTAAGACTTCCTTTAGAAAAAGTTTTAGTGTATCTAACACAGAGTTCTCAGTCTGAAGTGCTTTACAGAAGCCAGTTTATCTTGCCTCTGAACTTGAGGACTTGCAGCAGATCTTTTCAGTAGCTGCTTAATGCTTACATGTCTGATGGCAAATTTAACAACATGTATCTTAATCACTTCAGTTGCCATACTTTTTTTTTTTTTTTTAAACACGAATATAGCTGTGCTTTTCCAAGCACTTTTCTTGAGAAATAATTGAATAGGGACAGACTTTTAGTAGTGCCTGTAGTGACAGGACAAGGGGTGATAGTTTTAAAATGAAAAAGGGGGATTTAGACTAGGTATAAGGAAGAAATGTTTTACGATGAGGGTGGTGAAGCACTAGCACAGTTTGCCCAGAGAGGTGGTAGGTGCCCTGTCTCTGGAAACATTCAGGGTCAAGTTGGACAGGGCTCTGAGCAATCTGATCATATTGGAAGATGTTCCTGCTCAGTTCAGGGCGGGGGGTTGGACTAGATGACCTTCCAATCCGAACTGTTCTGTAATTCTTCTGTGTGAATATTCTTTTAGATCCTAGAATGAAAACCACGTGTGCAAACGTGGAAATTGCCCATGCATTGTTTTTATGAGGCAAGCCACCTGCTTGGGTTCACATTACTTTTCCTTAAAAGTAAATTGTTCAAGGTATTTCCAGTGCCATTCATTAAGGTAATCACAGAAACACACCTGAGCCCAGGCAACTTTGGTTTGCATATTTTTAATATCTGCAGTGCAGAAATGATGGAGTTTGTTAAAAGTTGAACAGTTGAAATTTTCTTCTGAGAGTATGTAGGGTTTAGCTTGTAATTGAACTTCAGGGATGTTTTTTTTTCCTGTAACTAGAATTGTCCTGTTGAATGCAGCTTGAGTGGAAGAAAGTCACTCAGATAGAAAGACTTCAAAATAACTACATGGTGTTCTTCATGAATATTAGCAATAACAGACCAGTGTTCTCCCATTCCCCAAGCTCTGTCACTTCCTTCCTGTGCATTGTTTTCTGTTCTGGCCTGAAATGTAGTGCAGTACTGAGAGAATAGTTCTTGGTCCTGAGGCAGGTGCCAAACTTAAATGTTCTCCTGGATGTGGCCTCTTTTCAGAACAAAAATGAAGTCTTACATGTCTCATTAGTACTTGCCTGACTGTGCAGGCTTAGGAGTCCAGCTGGGCTTAAACGGGTGACCCTTTTAAGCTTTTCTTCCCTTAGGATGTTAGGATAAATAGTTGTTGTAGAGGTGTTTGAAATTTGTCATGTTCTACGGAGTCATCTGACTTGGCCTTTTGTAACCAACATTTCAGTAAATTGTCAGCATTGGACTTCCCCATTGCATTTCTTGTCAAGCCTGCACTCCTGCATGGAGCTGTCTTGAATGAAAACTGGAAGTTGTAGGGAAGTCCAAGCCAGTTTGTTTCTGCCACGATGAGTTGTTGCTGAGACTACAGATGTTGATAACACTCTCTCCCACTTCTGTGTGTTATTCAACAGCACAGTTGTGTGACCTGTAATAGATTTATTTCTCTGACTCATGGACGTTACTGATGCTTCTCATGAGGCCCACCTAGCTTACACTAAAGTGTTTCCAGGTCACGTGAAAGCTCTGATAGACTCAGTTTTGCCAACAGCTTATCTCATGTTTTTTTAAACTTATGTTTCAAGTAAAATAATCCCAAGGTTTTGGGAGATAGGGGGAAAAATTGTCACCAGTTGATCATTTTGGACATTAAGTATTTCAGGCACTTTTGACCATAAGACAAGTTAGTGGCTTTTGGTAAAGCTGAGTCACTTCATATGACTTTAGTTAGGTATTGACAAGACAAATATAAGTGTTGCGATTAATATACTGAATAGAAGATATTTATAGTGTATCTAAATTTTTTGTTAGCTGGAGAGAATTTCACTTGTTTGTACCAACGTGTCGCTTTGCCTCTGTCAGCATGCGAGGTTCCAGTTTTGGTAGATGTTCAAACTGAGTATTATGTGGAAATAATGTTTTCTCTTGCCTCTCTTATAATTTACTGCTATGTTTTTATATTTTTCCAAAAATACTGTTCCAAAATATTGTTCCAATATTTTCCTTTGGAAATCCCAATTTGTACCTTATCCGCATCTTTTCCTTAGTTTGAAGCATTTTTTAAATTGTAGAGTGAAAACAGCTAAAGAGGCATGGTGACTAGTGCTAAAGTATCCATTTGCTGATGGGCTTTTCCTGGCAGGGTCTACTTCCTAAATAAACTTCTGGGATGTTGATTTATGAAACTGAATCTGTGTTTATAAACTCGAGGGAGCACTTAAAATCAATGCACAAGGGTTCTTTGACCCCAGCCGGCAACTAAGTACTAGGCAGGCACTTGCTAATTCCTTCTATCCCCTGGCAGGATGGGAAGGAGAATCAAAAAAGGTAAAGCCTATGGGTTGAGATAAGAACAGTTTAAGAATTGAAATAATAATAATAGTAATTATGGTGAAGAAGAGAAGGGGGACAACAGAAGGAGGAGACTAAAACCCAAGAATGACAAGTGATGCACAATACAATTGCTCACCACCCACTGACCAATACCCAGCCAGACTGAGAAGCAGTCCGCCCCATCCAGCCCACTCCCCCCAGTTTCTATACTGGGCATGACGTGCTGGGGTATGGAATATCCCTTTGGCTAGTTTGGGTCAGCTGTCCTATCTCTGCTTCCTCCCAGCTTCTTGTGCCTTTTGTCACTTGCAGAGCATGAGAGACTGAGAAGTCTTTGATCAGGGTAAGCATTATTTAGCAACAACTAAACCATCAGTGTGTTATCAGCACTGTTCTCAAACTAAACCCAAAACACAGCCGTGTGCATCAGCTACAGGGAAGAAAACTCCATCCCAGCAGAATCCAGGACAACAGAAAATCCTGCTCAAAGGAAAGAATACAAGGGATGAGCTTCTGTGGAAGCTTTCTGATTTGGAAGATGGTCTTCAAAACACTATTCCCTTCTGTCTCCTGTTTCTGTGTAGGCAAGTGGGAGCTTGCAGAGATGAAAGAGAACCATTCTAATGGTTCTGGTGATAACTTCAAAAGTGGATATGTTTTACCTCTGACTCAAGCTGTGTTGATTGGTTAGGTGTCATGACACTGAAGATGGATATCCAAGTTCATTTTGTGACTTTTAGTGTTACGGACAGCTATGTTTTATATGTGGGAAGTATCTATGCATTTGTTCTCTGAAAGCTGAAAATACGAATAAGTATCCCTTCATTTTTTTGGTCAGCTGTTGTCTTTTTTGTGTGGTAGTCAAACAGGTTTCATGCCGACTGAAACGTTGATAAAAGCAGTTTCTGAGGACTTGTCTTTTCATTAAACATCCTAGAGGAGCAACAAATTCCATCGACTGTTCCTCCAGACTTTGTAGCTGCTGTTAGTATGGGGGTTGATGTGGCTCATCTACATTTGAAATAATCGTTAGGTTTTGAAGATAGGTCACTAGGTTGGGTGTTGAGCAAAGATACTGCATTAATGTTGGCAGACAATGTGTTGTAATGAATTTGTTAGTTCTTCAAGGTTTTCTCACCATGTGTCTTTCAAGGTTGAGGCATATAACTGATGGTTTTCAAATGGGTGCTGCTTATAAAAGGTGGCAGTTAAGAGGCTGGAAACTAAATATGGCTTCTGAGATTGTGCTGAAACGGTACCCAGCTAGATGATTTTAGTATTGAGTTTGGAAGGTGGTGTGGTACACTGATGGCAGAAGACTGTCATTCTATGGATTAGAAGCAGTTGCAGCTATTGAAAGTCTCCCAGGATCTGGAAGCTTCTGCCTGTCAGAAATAGCCTACACAAAGCGAGTATGTGCGTTGGGGAGATAGATCTTATGCATAACCCTCATCTGTCTGTCTTTTACATACAGGCAGTGTTCAGTTGCCATGAAGGCAATTAAATCCATTACAGAATTATGTGAATTGTTGACTTGTTCATAGGCTGGTTCATTGAGTCAGCAATTTCTATTTTGTCTGTTTACCACGCCATGTTCTTCAGACTGTAGTAAGCAGCAGTTTGTTGGATCAGCCTCTCCACGGGGCAGCCTGTCTGCTGTGTCTCTCTCTGACAGGTGACAAAGTGGTCATTTCTAGTCTGCTGTCAGTCATTGCTGTAGACATACACTTGGATTTGTTTAAAATGAGGTTGAGATTCTCGTTTATTTAAAGGTCTCTCTTTCTAAGCATCAGTGTTACCCTGCTGATTCTGTGTTTCATTGCAGAACCACCCATGAGTTCTTGTTTGGTGCCCTTGCTGAACTTGTAGATAATGCCAGGTATGTACCTGAGACTGCCTAATTCCCAGCATAAAATTGGTAAAGACGTAATCAACCTGTCTATTTGTTGATCTTGAGCAATTTCCACTTTTAGCAGATGGCACAAAAAATACCCAGAATTGAAGACTTTGCTGAGGCTTTGTATAGGTATTTCCTTTGGTCCTCTTACACAAATGACCTCTGGTCTCTTCTCCCAAGGAACAAGGGATAGGACAAAAGGAAATGGTCTCAAGCTGCACCAGGGAAGGATTAGACTGGAGATTAGGAAAAACTTCTTCCGCAAAAGGGTGATCAGGCATTTGCCTCCTAAAAAAGTTAGGTTTGAGTGAATCATAGAGCAACTCAGATTGGAAGGGAGGTTGCTAAAAGACACAAGATAGATTTAAGGAAAAAATAAGCGTGCCTTTTTGTTTACAGAAATTGGTAAAATAATAATTACTGGAGCTGGGATTCTTAAGTACTTAGATAATCCTGGACTCTTAATATCAAGCATGGTGATAGGATGAAAATGACATCAGAAGCCGGATGCTGAAAAGTGCAAGAACAGTTAGAGCAGTTGTGATATCTGAGACTTGGAAATTGCAGGTTTTGGACCATGTTTGCATTTGGGAATCCAGGCTATAGCTGTTTCCCAAGTCTTGCATGCTCATCTCTTCATAAAATAAAGGCTGAGACAGGCTAAGAAAGTTTGAGCTGTTCAGCATGGAGAAAAGAAGCTGCGTGGAGACCTCAGAGCAGCTTCCAGTGTCTGAAGGGGCCTACAAGGATGGTGGAGAGGGACTCTTCATCAGGGACTGTAGTGATAGGACAAGGGAGAATGGGTTCAAACTGAAACAGGGGAGACTGAGCTGAGCTCTTAGGCAGAAGCTCTTCCCTGTGAGGGTGCTGAGGCGCTGGCACAGGGTGCCCAGAGAAGCTGTGACTGCCCCATCCCTGGCAGTGTTCAAGGCCAGGTTGGACACGGAGACTTTGAGCAAGCTGCTCTAGTGGAAGGTGTCCCTGCCCGTGGCAGGGGTTGGAGCTGGACAACCTTAAGGTTCTTTCCAACCCAAACCATTCTATTATTCTATTCTATAAATATTCTGATGGAATTATGGGAATATTTTGAGATCATTTTCTGTCTGTGTGAACTGTCATTCTCTGTCACTCTTAGTTTAAGGAGCTCAAACAGGAAGGTTTTGGTGTAGGGAATCAGCTGTGTGTGTGTTTGCACCATTGCTGGTTCACACTTCTGGTACAACATAGTTAAATGTAGTATCTGAAATTAATAGGTTATTTTCTCTCCAGCCTGGTTCCTCCTCTGGGAAAAGAGAGGTTGGCCTTCTGGGAAGGAGGTAGCTATACTTGGCTGTAGATATAAAGACAAGACAAAGTAACTTTGGCATTTGGGAAGTGGGGGTTTATTATGATGCTACAACTGCACTCTTCTGATCAGCAAACTAAGGATATGTGATGGTCTACATGAAAAAAATGTTTGGTTTTGGGAAGAGGGCAGTAATGCTGCTTATGCTGCTTTTTAAATAGAGGATGCACAGTATATGAAGGGCTTTACTTACATGATCTTGTAATGACACAGTTTCCTATGACAACCGTGAATGTATTTCGATGGAGTTTTTTGTGGAGTTACTAAACTTTTCATAGGCAGCTTGACAGGAAAAATGAGGGTATTGTCTCTTTTGAACAGGAAGGAGCTCAGGCTTATTTGATCCCTCTCCCCCCACATGACTTATGTTAAAATACCGTCACTGTACAAATACAGTGATACTCTGCTGTAACTAGGCTTAATTGTGTGGCAGCAAATGTCTTATGCTGGAGTTCGGGTTCAAGAAAGCAAAAAGTGAAACTGTGTGTTTTCACTTATGTGTTAGTGTTGACTGAGGGGCCTTTATGGACTTTGATCTGTGCAGCAAATATTCATTTTGGAAATTATTGCATGCGCCTGGAGTTCAACTTTTTGACATCTGAATACCAATTGTGTTTTTATTTTGTAGAGATGCAGATGCCACAAGAATAGACATTTATCCTGGTAAGTCATACCTGCTGCTTCATTGCATGTCAACAGTGTGTTCTACCTGGTAGAATTGCAGTGAGCATGCTTATACCCAATACTGTGTTCAGTTTTGGGCCCCTCAGTACAAGAGAGATCTCGAGGTGCTGGAGCAGGGCCAGAGAAGGGGAGCAGAGCTGGTGAAGGGCCTGGAGCCCAAGTGTGATGGGGAACGGCTGAGGGACCTGGGGGGTTCAGTCTGGAGAAGAGAAGGCTCAGGGGGGACCTGATCGCTGCCTACAACTGCCTGAGAGGAGGATGGAGCCAGGAGGGGCTGGGCTCTGCTCCCAAGGAACAAGGGATGGGACAGGAGGAAACAGCCTCAAGCTGCACCAGGGGAGGTTTAGATGGAGATGAGGAACAATTCCTTCCCCAAAAGGTGCTCAGGGACTGGACAAGGCTGCCCAGGGCAGCCTGTGTCACCATCTGTACATTTCTAAGAGACAGGTAGATGTTGTGCTTAGTAACCTGCTTTAGTAGTGGATTTGGCAATGGCAAGTTTATGGTTGGACTCAATGATATTAAGAGTCTTTTCCAACCTAAATAATTCTGATTCTACCATTTGTCCTGTGCCCCAGTGCCTGTTGTCTTTCAAAAACTGGTGTCTTCACAAGTAACTCGGGCAAGCACTTAGATCAGCCTCCAGCTGAGGTTAGGCAAAGAGGGTAGCTGTTTATACTGGATGCTTAAGAAACCTGTTTTTACAATACGCTCTTGTAGCATATATGTACCTGCAGTTTAAAGTGCAGGAGGAGTTCTTAGTTACTGTGTAACAAAAATCTGCTGCTCTTTCGTGCAGCTTAGCCATGGTGTTATTTGTGCTTGTTGTGTTACTTCTGTCATTAACACTGATTCCATTTTATGGAACTTTTAACTTTTGCTCGTGGGAGTACTGAATAATTCTTCTCTTGTAGAGCAACGGGATGACCTACGAGGTGGATTCATGCTCTGTTTTTTGGATGATGGAACAGGAATGGATTCAAGTAAGTTGCAGGAAGTCAAAGTTTCATTTTCAAGCTGAGATTTCATGTTACAGCTTAGGCTCAATTAACAGCATGGTTCTGTTGAAAGAGGCATATTCCATGCCTGGGTACATGTTCCTGCTGCTGCACTGGCTCTTTCACACCATATCATGTATCAGTCTATTCACCTCTTCAGCTGCAGAAAACTAATCTGGCCAAAAGCAGATTGTTTTGCTGCATTATAGAATTAGTCAGCCTGGCCTGTGGTGTTCCAGCACACCAAAGTTGGCCTTGGGGCTGGAGAGAGAACATGGTAGCCAGAAAAGGCAACAAGCACAGGCTTTGGTGGGCAGAAGCCTTTTCTCTATTAGAGGATGCCAAGTGGTTGGTGTTTCTCAGCTCTTATAAGAAAGCGTACCATGAAAAAAATTAAAGCTGTTGTAAGAATTGGTGTAGATCTGAGTTGTATCTAGCAGGAGAAAAGCCTCTTGCTTTGCTTTAGCATCAGTGAAAGCACTGGCAACCCACTCCACCTGCTCTGTGTCTTGAAGACAGGTAAATCCTCCTGTGCGGAGCTCTCTACTGGCAGAAAGGTTGGGCTGAATTGGAAGGTTTGTGAGAAGGTAGAGAAGATAAGTAAGGAAGTCTCGACTAACATTTTATTCTGATCCCTCAGTACTTTAAGATGTGCTTGTAATACTGTGGGTTAACTCCAGCCAGCAGCTAAGCACCACACAGCCCAGTGGGATGGGGGAGAGAACTGGAAAGTTAAAATCAAGAAAATTCATGGGTTGAGATAAAGACAGTATAATAGGGAAAGCAAAACTGTGTGTGCAAGCAAAGCAAAGTAAGGAATTCATTAATCACTTCCCATTGGTTGGCAGGTGTTCAGCCTTCTCCAGGAAAGCAGGGATCTGTCACGTGTAACGGTTACTTGGGAAGGAAATGCCATCACTCTGAATGTCCCCCTTCTTCCTTCTCTCCCAATTTTACTGCTGAGCATGACATCCTGTGGTCTGCAATATCCCTTGGGTCAGTTGGGGTCAGCTGTCCCAGCCTTGTCCCCTCTCAACTCCTGGTGCATCCCCAGCTCCTTTGCTCATGGGGCAGTGTCAGGAGCAGAAAAGGCCTTGATGCCGTGTAGGCACTGCTCGGCAGTAGCTAAACCAACACTGTTTCCAGCAGGAATCCAAAACATAGCCCCATCCAAAGCCGCTATGGAGAAATTTAACTCTCTCGCAGCCAAAACAAGTGCAGATATGAAGTATTCAATTCTGTTTATTAATGCTTATAGAAGTACATTAGCATCTTTGATACACAAATCTGTGACCTGCATGAAGGAATTTACTTTGAACCCCAGATACCTTCTGTGTACTCTCTGGAAAATAATTAAGGATCCTTAAGAGGTCTTCTGAGAATACTGCCACCAGTGGAATTGAAGGAAGCAATTAAGCCCTATCCATAAAACAGGTTCAGAGACTTAAGTGTGGCCTTCTCACGAACCTTTGGATCAGGGAGAAGAAATACAACCTGTTCTGCGTATCTTGAAGACTACGTGTTTGTGTCTGGGTTGAGTGTAGGTGGTGACAAGTATCTGTTCCAGTGCGGCAGAGTCTTAATAGCAGCTTTTATGCTGTTGTTGCTCTTGTATTGCTGATTTTGTGACAAAGTGGTATTTAGGTATTGGCTAAGTATCCAGTTGCTTCTTTTGGCTGATCTTTCTACTAAATAAATCTTGAAGGATTTTATCCTAACTTTGGTAGTCTGAGATCCTCTGTAAAGGAGAGCGGCAGGTACTGTGAGTTGTGGTGGTATTTCACAGCACTAGGCAGCATATATGGCAAATACAATATAATTTACGTCGTTTGACTGTTGATGCTTGCATGAAGTGTAGCTCATTCTGTGCCTCAAAAATTTTTATTTTATTTTAGATTTGAGGTTGTGAGGTTACCTTTGCCCTGTTCCAGGACATCGCTTTTCAGATGTGAAATTGCAGCTTTTAGTACTTTTGAAAAAGCCCTTCTTAATTTTCAGCAGTCTGAGACATACTGTTTTGATGCAGACTCTGGCTCTGGTGGTCACATCTTCATGGCTTCAATGCTGGGTGGTCATAGGAAGCTTGATAAACTTTTAAAAGTCACTTAACCAAGGGCAGCCAGGTAGAAACTCCATTTGCTGCACTGTTCGCCTGTCAACATGGACAGGAATGGCTGGAGAGAGGCTGTTATTCTAACTCCCTACATGGGCCTGTCTCTACACCCGACTATAGAGGCCTGAGTTTTAATTTCTGATAATGCAGGATCTACCAGTTTTGAAGACATCTTGAAGATTTCTTACCTGAAAGCTGATTTTAGGATATGTCAGCAGAAAACCTTTTACTGGACTTTTCTCTCTCCTTATCGTGAAAATAGCATCAAAATCCACACAGACCTTCCCTTCAGCAGAAATCATAGAGCTTGGGAGGAGTTTATTTTTCCACATGATAATTTAAGTAAGGATTGTTGTAAGCTGACATGTTAAGAAGAATAACTGTATGACTTGTCTTAATCCTGTATGTGAATCACTAGTATGTGATCTTCCTGAGTACACTGAAGGGGGAGCTTAGAAGGCTGGATGAGGAGGATGAGCCAATAAACCTGGATATCTCTGGATGCTTTCACACAGAGGGAAGAGCTGAATGGCCCAAGTAAACTGTTCAGTTAACACGTTCTCTGTTATAGAATCATATAATGGTTTGGGTTGGAAAGGACCTTAAGATCATCAAGTTCCAACCCCCCTGCCGTGGGCAGGGACACCTCCAGTCCCTTTGGTCTTGTTCTGTGTTGGTCAGTCCTAAATTTGTCTGGCAAGCTATGGAAACATAGAAGGGTGTAGTGAGACAATAGCTCAAATTTGAGCGCTCTGCCTGATAGCTCAATTGTCAAGGCAAATGGCAGCTCCCCAAGTAAAATTAGTGAAAGGTATGAGTGATCAGCATTTCTAAAAACTGTTTGTCAAGCGACTCCTACTATAGTTGCATTCAGAACTTGCTGCATTGGCTCTCTTAATGATCATGCTGGATTGGGTTGCCTGAAGGTCAAGTTACATTTGTCCTCAAGCTGCGAACATGCTCTAGAGTCATAAGTTATCAAAAGATCTGAGGATTCAGTGATGCCGCAGTACAGATTGCTTCTAAAAAAGCATCATGTCTCACAGGGAGATACTGGGATAGTAGTGCTGGTTGAAAAGTTTGGCTTTTTCATAAGGGACTAAATAGGATTTGATTAGAAAACATTAGGTCAGGATTTCTCGTATTGTCAGTGGCATCACTACTGAGGATACTTAGCTTGAGAATTTTAACCTCCTGCTTGTGCTCTGAAGGTGCTGTATGAATCAGAATGTTGGTTGAATGAAGGCTGAAGAAGTATAACAGCTAATTTAGGAAGTGCTTTGTAATTGTATTTTTAAAAGATTGAAAAAAGTAAATCTTTAAGTTGCATTTTAGAATCAGAACAGCCCAGTTTGCAGGGGACCTCAAAGATCATCTGTACATCATGGTACAACCTTTCATGGGAAGGGGAACCTAGCATCCTGATGATTTTGCACCCTGTCCCATCACATCTTGAAAACCTCCAGCCACAGGGACTCCACCACATGGGGAGGTTGTTTTGTCGACTGATTATTCTCCCAGTGCAACTTTTACCCATTGCCCTTTTCTTTTTCGTGTGTCTCCCTGTGAAGGGAGAGCCTTCATCCTCTTTGCAGCTGCCCTGTAATACTAGGGTAGTGTGATGTGATTCCCTCTGTGAGACCTGTCTTCCAGAAAGAAGAGACCTAGATCCTTCAGTCTTCTCTGATAGAGCTGGTTCTTCAGCCCTTTGATCATCATCTCCTTTTTTACCTTGTCTAGTCTGTCCACATCTTTCTTGAACTGAGATCAAAAGCGGAGAGTACTCCAGGTATGGCATGAAAAGCACATCTCTGTCTCTGTAGTAATGCCCATACAGATGCAGCCCAGGATCCCATTTGCCTTCATAGCTGCAGAGATACACTCCTGACTCATATTCAGCTTGCTGTCTGCCAGGACCCCCAGGTCCCTTTCACCAAGGCTGTTTCCCAGTCACACAGATCCCAGACTGTACCGAGTTCTTCGGTTATTTCATTCCAGGTTCAGGACTTTGCCCTTGCCTTGAACTTCATACAGTTCTTGCTTGCCAGCTCTTCCAGCCTGTCCAGGTCTTTCTAAGATGGCTCTCCTTTCTGATGTGTCCAACTCACCCACCATCACCAAACCTGGTGAGGGTGCTTTCCACCCCATCATCCAAATCCCATATGAAAATGCTGAACAGCATCGATCCCTGGGTGACCCCACTTGTGACAGGCTGCCAGCTGGAGTAAAAATCATTGATGGTCACCCTCTGAGTGCAGCCTGTGAGTCAGTTCCCTGCGCATCTTGCATACCACCCATCCAGTCTGTGTCTTGCTAGTTTGTCCAGGAGAAGGCTGTGGGAGCCAGCATCTAATGCTTTGCTAAAGCTCAGCTAAACAGCATCCAGTGCCCTCCCCATGTGGGCAGAAAGTGATGTCGTCTTGTACCAGGCTCAGGTAGCTGATTGTCTTGTGTTTGTTATGGTGATGAAAGACCTCAGAGCTTCTCTTCCCCTTTCCTGGGAAAAGCTTGACTGGAAGTAATCTTGGTTTAGGCTGATTTCCCCCATGTAGTATATTAGATACTTTGCCTCTGGGATACATTTTGAGAATGCTATTGAGTCTGCTGCAAGTACTCCACCTAATGCGAATGTAGCAGATGTGTTTATGGAGAAGGCAGGAAGGATCATTTTCTGTGCTTACATAGAGACCTTCTTTAGCGTATTCCAGTCTGGTGAACTTGGGAATATGAGAGGACTCTCCTCAAAGGGCAAGCCAGGTCTGACTTCAGTGGGTGCCTGGTGGCTGATAGTGGGGGAGTGGAGGGGAACAGCTTGTGACTCATGGTGGGGAGAGCAGGCAGCTTCCTGCAGGGGTGTCCGTGGTGGGTTGTGTCAGCAAGCGCGTGCTGAACAGCCTGCCTGTTGTTCAGGAGGGTGCTCTGCAGCTGTTCTTGGAGGACCAGGAGTCAGGAGCTAAACAACTCCGTCCCTCAGTTCTTCATCCCAGGTGTCTCATGTTCTCATGTTTCTTAGGAGGAAACTGTTTATCTGTGTCCTTGATTCCTTTTCTTGGGCTCTGAAGATCAATCTGCCATCTTGAGCAAATTCCTTCAGATTGTTTTTTCTCTCATGTTTGGCATAGGTCACCCCCCACTTTACGTTGCCAGGGAGTTTGTTTTAAATCTGGTAACTCTGAGACACGGCAAAATGAAAACACTGTGACTAAAATAGCTGTGAGTGAAACTCCCTCCAGAGCCTTAACTCAAAGCTAAAAAAAAAATAAAAATAGTCATTTGTACATTGATTCTTGGGAGGAGGTAAAGCCTAAACCTCTGCCAAAGACAGCAAACCTGAAGCAGAGAGAGATGCTCCCTCACAGTCCCTCTGCTTGGCATCATCTTTGTCCCTCTGCCCAGAAAGAGGAATCTCTACAGGGTGGTTTTCGACATCCAGCATTGAGTGATAAACCATATGGTTGCCTTTTCTGAGAGAGGAAATACTTTAGACAATGATTCTTTACCTCTTTTAGGCTTCTCAGAGTTTGCTTAAAAATAGTCACTGATACAACTTTCAGTATAGCAAAAGGGTTCCAGTTTAACTTCTCCTCTTAGGACATCCCCTATACCCTTTTCTGCCTAGGCTTTCAAACTTAACACAGTAGTAGCAATAGTAATAATATGATCATCATCAATATTCTTACCCAGATCTCAAATCTGAGGTAACCTAATGTTTTCCTTGTTTGGCTAGAAAATGCTATTGTAGACTGAAGGAAAGGAAGAGGTCCTCTCATCCAGTCAAAAGTTTGTTTTGACATGCCTGTGGATCTCCATTATGAACATACTGCATTGAGGCAGTGGGGTGCTTGCACAATTGTTATGTATTTTTGCCTTGTGATTTGTGACTTTAAATCTGAATGTCATTTCAATGGTAAATGGCATTCTGACACCCAGCTCGGTGATTTCATGTGAGACCAGTGGTGTTAGTACTAAACATCTTACTGTAAAGACTCACTGTCAGTAATAGTGGACTTGGGCAAGCCCCTTGCATGCTTAAATCCAGCTTGCTCAGCCTCTATGTAGCTGGCTGGTGGGGTGAGCTACACTCACAGCTTGTGTCCTGAGCTCCCTCACAGCTTGTGTACACATTTGAGGGTTGTAATTGTTGTTAGCCTTCCTGTTAAGGCACTTGATGTTCCTTGTTCCTTGTCTCTGGAATTGAGTTTCATTTCTCCCAGCAAACTCTGCTGTGAAATGATTGTGATCTCTTGGGGGAAGGGAGAGGAATTGTTCTGTTAAATGTTAAAAGGCTTTATCCCTTGAACAATATAAAGGCTTGGACTAAAAATGACAGACCCTCTCAGATGCAGATGCATCACATCCTTTCATTTAAGTCACTGGTAATAAAGTACTCTGTTAATTGCTGCATTACTTGCTCATCCTGCTTTTCCCCCACAGCTGCCCTTCTGCCAGCAGCCTGCTGTGAAAATCACCCTTTGTCTTAGTAGAGCATTAATTAACGATGGTGTTCAGCTCAACACCATGAAGAGAAAGTGATGTTTATCCCGAATTCAAGACCTTTTTTTATAGCGCTGACTTATGCTCTATTGGCAGTGGGTTTGAGTCTGTGGTATCAGCAGTGCATACAGCACAGCAGAGCTGCAGTGGCCCAGGCTATGTTTTGGTTTATGAGCATGTTGATGATTGTGGTTGACACAACAGATCATCTTGTGGATTTTTTTGGTAAAAAGAAATGCCTTTGTGCAGTTGGGACGGAGCATGGGGCTCATCTGGAATTTAAAACTCTTTTTGTCAGCATAATGGCATCTGCACAAAGCTTTTAATGATGTAAATGCCGTTCAGCAATGTGTATCTTACAGGGCTGTACAGCAGAGCTTCAGGATGATGCTTTAGCTTCTGGCATTTTCCATGCTATAATCTTTCTGTGCTACTTACAGTGGTGAATGCATTTATCTAAAAGATGTGTGTCTGATTGTATACTGAAATAAAACTTCTGTTGTTCCCTGTCTCTCATTCTAGATGAAGCTGCCAGTGTTATTCAGTTTGGGAAATCAGCCAAGCGATCACCTGAGTCAACTCAAATTGGGCAGTATGGGAACGGCTTGAAATCGTAGGTATAACAAAAGCCAGCCTCCTGATACGGAGCTCAGGGCTGAGGTAGTAAATGTATTGTTTGCTTGCTATCTTTTTTTTTCTTTTTTATTCCCAGAAAAAAGAAGGCAGGTGAAATCTAAATCCTGGTACTGTGGTTTGGGGGACAGGAGCTCTGACATCTACTATAATTTTTCAGTGGCTGAGAAGTCTGTCAAGAGTTGATGACGGTGTTTTGCCATTATGTTTGCATGATGCAGAGGATACAGATCAGAGCTGGTGGAAAAAAAATGGTAGAGCAGGAAACAAAACCTTAGTATGCCTGTGGGAGACAGTAAAATGGGAACAAAGTAGTCCTCTCACTAAGAAGGTTGTGGGCTGCTGTCAGATGGACTTCAACCTTTTCTTTTTTATCCTAAATCAAACAAATGCATAGAGAAGGAGAGTAATGGAAGGAATGAGAGGAGGAGTGGGATTAGGTGGCAGCTGAACAAAGGTGGGGAGGAAATCTCATTAGCTGGAGGGGATTTGCTAGGAAAGAGAAGTGTTTCTGTGGTAAACTGAAGTCTTTGGGAAAGCTAGAGGGCTTTCATGGCTTACTCTGGCTGTTCCGCTTTATACTGTTCTGTGTGGCTTGATTTTTTTTTATATGTATCCTCCTGGGGAAATCTGTGGGACCCTATAGCATGGGAGGAAAGAAGAAAAGGGGATGTAAGGGACTTTGATATCCCATTGATACAGCTGCAGTGTGGGACGCATCCCAGATCCTGGCTGGGCACTTCCAGGACAGATCTCTGTCCTCTTCTTAACCTTGGGCAAGAGTCATACTATATTACAGGTGAGAAATGCAGACTGAAGCCTAAACATGCAAAAGGTGTGCTTTGGTATCACATCAGGCCAATCTGAAGAGAATTGAACTGACAGAACACTAATCCTTTTTTTGATGCAATGCTACGTTTCTTTGTTAAGGTTTTTTTTTGACAAGTTAGGGTAAAATAGAGAAGATGGGGAAGGCACTGTTGGGGATAGCAGAGTGGGGAGGAAGATGGGACTGTGTCTTTTGTGACAGCTAGCTGCTAAGTTGCACTGTCTGAAGTGTCAGTGAGTCTTTTAAGTTAGACATAGGAAAAAATTGTCTCCCAGAAACTTGTTTGCTGCTGTTCATTCTGTGTGAAGTGAAATGAAGTGTGTCTTTGCTTTCTCACACTTCTGCTTGTCTATTTGCAGGATATTGTCACATCTCACGTTAGTCATCTTAGATTTTTTAAAAAAAAGATTTTTTTTTTTTTAAAACTTGCTATCTAGGATGAGCCTGGGCATGCTGTGCATCTGCACTTCTGATTGTGACTCGTGTTAAGGGATTTGAAGCCTTATGAGAATGATCAGATTAAGATGCCTTTTGAAAGGAGAGATATTTAGAGAGAAGTGGTAGCTGCTGTTTAAGCCCTTCTTTTGCCTTACCTGGTTTTGGCATCTTGAACATAATAGGAAGAAAGTTCAGCAGCGTGGTCTGCTTTCTAGAAAATGTTATGCATCAGGGGTAATATGCTGCCTGAAATCTGTCTGCAGGGGTTCCATGCGGATTGGGAAGGATTTTATCCTGTTCACAAAGAAAGACAACACCATGACTTGCCTTCTCTTGTCACGAACATTCCATGAGGAAGAAGGCATCGATGAGGTTTGCATGTAGTTTGCTATAATGAACTAATGTGGTGAATGCTATCTCAGCAGAACCTCTCCAGCTCCCTGAGGAGAAGTGTCTGTCTCAGTGTTGGCTGCCACTGGTTGGACCAGTGGTATGGTTTTCTCTTGGTGATAAACTTGTAGGGGTTCTGCAAAGTCATCAAAGGATTTTTCCTTTAGGTTTTAATTCTGAGAGTTCTCTAAACTCCAGCAAGTTTGAAGGGCTTGTTTTAATCACTTAATGTTGCTTATGCTGAGTTCAGGACGTGCCTAGACTTCTTGCATTTTCCTTTTTCCACACAATTTGAGTATGGGATGTATTTAAATTTGTTGCTCTGATCCGATTTTCTGTAGAAAATTAAAGGTGTGCTTGAATGAGTCCTACCCACAGGACACAAACTCCAGACATGTCTTTTCTTTTGGATTTTTTTAAAACAAAAAATCAGTGTGGTTCTACGTGTTGAAAACTTGCGTATCTTAATATATAATTCAGGCATTGTTGTTCTGTATCCAGACTCTTTAACATGGAACTATTTTTGTGCTCAAACACAAGTGTTTTCCACGCAAGACTGATAATGAAAGGTTGTAAATTTGCACCAGGGTAGTATCTAAGAAAGTATTTTCCATTGTGATCATGGAGGGAGCTCTATAAAGAAGCTTTTGAGGGAGCAATGCTTATTAGTGGCCAGCTGATGGCTGAAGCAAGTTGGGAACAGTGATGTAGTTCTCACTGCGGCTCTGGAATCAGAAATTTGTGCTTGACCTCAGTTCTGAAGTGAGATCAGGATTCACTGTCCTTGATAGGCGGACCCAGGCTGTAATTCCCTCTGTGGTTTTGTTCTGAGCAACAGAAAACACCAATAGCCTTAGCTATAAATATAATAAAGAGTGAGATATGGATGAATATGAGTGAAGGATATTTGAGTTCAAGAGAGAAGTTAAGTACAGAAATTTAAATTTTTAAAAAAGCAAAATTTGGTTGTTGTTTTTTTTTTTATGGTAGTATTATGAAAGTCATTGCAAGAGGAGGGGAAAAAACCCATTGAGTGTGTGAGTAGCCAGTACCATAGAGGTTACTTGGAAATAGCTCAGTTTAAGACTAGATGTTGTAGGAAGACAACTCAGAGGCTGGTAAAGAGAGGTCCTTGGGCATTTGTCAGGAGGGGCAAGTCACTCGGTCATGTTCTGCAGACCAGAGTGGGTGAGCTATGCTCTTGATACAGTGCAATTTGCAGGTCATTGTTCCCCTGCCCACCTGGAATGCACAAAGCCGGGAGCCTGTGACTGACAACATGGAGAAGTTTGCTATTGAGACAGAGCTAATTTACAAGTATTCCCCTTTCAAGTCAGAACAGGAAGTGATGGAGCAGTTTAATAAGATATGTGGTGAGAAAGGTATGTATGGACAGTGCTGGTCACAGGCAGAGTATTTGGGGTTTGGCTGGAATTCATCTTATCAACTTGTTACTTGCTCAGGGACCCTGGTGATAATCTTTAACCTCAAACTAATGGATAATGGAGAGCCAGAGCTGGATGTGACTTCTGACCCCCGAGACATTCAGATGGCAGAAACATCTCCAGAGGGAACGTAAGTGTGATGTTACAAGCGTTTGGGCTCTGATCATTTTATGTGTAGGGTTTAGCTATATACTGTGTGCATGTGCTTTTTAAAAGCTGCTCTTTCTGTGGTGAATTGGAGAGTTTAACAGATCGTTAGTTTGTTCTTAGCGGTTTGGAGTTTATGTGGGTAAACATCCTGGAGGTGTTATGTTTGTGTGCTTGCGTGAATGCCTACTTTTTCTTGTCTCAGTTTAGTCAAAGCAGCAAACTCAGCGCTCTTCTTTAGGCACCTTAAAACAAAGGAGCCCTAAGCTATAGGTTTAATCTTCTATGCTCATCAAAGATGTTTTCATCAGAATGACAGCTGGTTGTGAGTCTGTGCTGCTTTCAAACTCATGTTCAGTTGTGTGATTAAATAAACCCTGGCAAGATGTGAACACCGCACAGGTCAGCCTGTATGAGTGAATGGTAAAAGGGTAGTACTGACGGGGTGTATCAGCACATCATCCTGGGAGCACGAGCAGCTCCTGGATTTCCTGCAGAGGAGAAAGGAGGATGTGCTCAGAGGACAGTTGGAAGAGCATAGAGGGTTGTTTAGGGAAAGCTGCCTGAAAAGGAAAACATGAGCTCAGCTGAGACAAATGCTTGATTAAATCCCAGAGCTCTATGGGCACACCTAGTGAGTTTTACCTGTATAATGAGATTACACACTGCTTCCCTGAAGTGCTTGAATTTCTCATAGAAATACAATTTCAAACACTGTAAACCTAGCTAATTCTGTATGCATCAGTTTGATGTTACTGAGTGCTCAGGTGCAGCAAACTCCTTGGCAATCTGATGTGATTCTCAGTTTCTTTAATGTGTGCTGGTGAGCTTTCATGATTAGCACTGATCACTGGAAGGAGCTTCTCTCTGACCTTGTGATAGCATTTATGTGTGTGATCAGTGCCGTTCCTGTCAGAGCATACACTCCTGAGTAACCGAAGGGTAAGAGAACATGCTAGCAAGTGGGGCACACGCTTAGTGTTCAATGGGCCAGTTTATAGGTTTGACCCATATTATCCAGCTGTATTCAAAACATCCTTTTCAAGCTACGGTGATACGTTCATCAGTGTTTTGTAACAGTATTTAAAATGTACAGCTCAACAGAAACTCTCTGTAGAAGACATGGGTAAAACAATATTAAAAGAAAAGCCTCACTTAACGCTCCTGCCCGGTAATTAAAATAGAAGGGCCTTGTCTTGTGCCTGGCTTTCTTGCTGAAGATTGTCCCTTTGGCATGTTTTGAAGGAGAAGGCTATGAGCTGAGATGCATGGGGTGTGAATCCTGCTTCAGGTGCTTAAAATACATTGGGGTAATGCAGAGCAGCGTGGGCACTTGGCTACTGGGTAGCATTTTGTTGTAAAATAAGAATCTTACAAGTTTTGTCTTGGAAAAACTTGTTCATTTGGTTTGGATAGAGGACAAGTCTCTGTGACAGTAGTATGTGACATGGCTCTTAAATGGTTGGGAATGAAGGGGAAAAACTGTGGAGGAAAGAGGAGGTGGAAGGCAGACTGAAAGAGACTCCAGGATGAGCACTCTGACTAAAGAGACACTGATTACTCAGGGCTGAACTGATACAGGCATCTTTGAGCTACATGGGCCAGACTGGGATAGTGTCTGCTGGTGGTTCTACCAGGAAATGCTGAACAAACTGCTCAGTTTCTGTAAGCATCCATCCGTCTCTTGCAGAAAGCCCGAGCGCCGCTCCTTTCGTGCCTATGCTGCTGTGCTTTATATTGATCCCAGAATGAGAATCTTCATAAATGGACACAAAGTACAAACAAAACGACTTTCATGCTGCCTGTATAAGCCCAGGTGAGTATTGGACCCAACATCTGCAGATGTGTAGGACTTCTTGGAGATTATTTATGGAAAGGGTTTAACATTTTGCTTTCCAGGTGTATCCTGCATAATTCCATGTTAAAGCTACAGAAACAGATCATATGGAAAAGGAGGTAGATAGTGGAAAATTTAATAACTTGAGTAATTTGTGCAATTTGGCTCCCTTTCAGAGCAAACCAAGAAATGAAGATAGTTTTTGTTCAAAATTACATATCCATATGTAATTTGGGTATGTATCGGTTAGGTAGCTGTTTTTAAGGAAATAAATATGGTGTCTGTTAGAATTATTACTGAAAAGAAGTGAGGCTAAGCACTTTGAAACAGTTGCTTTGAAAATTAACTTACATATGTAGCTGGTAAAGGTTTGCATAGAGATTAGGAAATACTATTCCCTGTCTTCCTTTTAAGTTCCCTTATACAAAAAAGTTGAAAGCAAGAGAGGTGTGCTGCCAGTTGTCTTAACAGGGACTTGAAAAGGATATAAGGATGGGAGGGGGAAGAAAAGCATGTATTTAAGTCTCCTTGAGGCAGTAGTGTTCTTCTGTCCCTGGGAGCACACAGGCTGTATTCCAGATACTATAACATGATTTGTCTTAATAAGTTAGTAATAATTTTATACAGTATTTGTGGATAGCTTTTCTGACAGCAGAAATATCAATTGTTTCAGTAGTATGGCGCACTGTCAACTTGTGTACTCATACTAACCACAGTCTTTTGTCATGATGGTTGCCTGGAGAGCCTGGCCTATTTTCAACTTACAGCCATGGCCTGCTTGTCAGGCTTGTACTTCCTCAGCTTTTTAAGTGACAATGTGTGAAATTATGTTAGAAACTCGTGGATGAACAATGCCGCGCGGTTACACTTACTAGAATCAATGCTGGTGCAGGTTTATCTAACAAATCTACTTGTGCCACATCTGTGCAAACTCCTTGTAGATCTGCTTATGGTGGTTGGGCAATAAAAATTCCCAGCACTGTAAAGGCATTTACATTTAAAATCCCTACTCCTGCAGCAGAATAGAAAAGGCTACAAAGAAGGCCTCCCTGTAGAGCACAGTGTATGTCTTTTTGGTCTTGTGGCAATTATTGTAGCCTTGTTTTTCCATAAAAAGTTATTTGGGATGGGATTTGCCTCTTGAAACATCCAGAACTTTGTGTCTTAAGGCAGTTTCAGTTCCTGCAGACTCTGATCATCCTTCTTGGTGTCATCTCCTCTTCCCCAATTATGTGTCTCTGCACAGAGGTGATGCATACTCACAAGCTTCTGCCTCTTAAACACACTTGCCTTTCACTCTACAGTAGTCAGTCTGTGATCTGCATTTGGCACGTTATGATATGGGAAGGTAGAACAAGCCACTGTGTCTCAAGCACGGTTTACAAGGCTGGGAGTCGGATGTGTAGTACACACAAATGTCGTGAAACCTTAGAACTGGAACTTGAAGATCCATTCAGAGTTGCTTTGCCGCTTAGGGTCTTTGAGCTACACTGTGTGATGGGCACTGTCAGACTACATCTGTGAATGGCTATTTGCAGGAGAAAGGGTTATTTATCTATAATGTGAGGTTTTTGAGAAGCTTACCATATATATTTACTCTTCCCTTCCTCTTCCAAACAAGCTATTCCTCGAAACACTGGGATTTCCCCTGAGAATATGGGCGTATTTCACTTCCAATGGTTAATGCAGAAAAGGGGATTGTGTTTGCAGCTGCTGTTAAAGCATCACTGATTTCAGAAGTTTTTGCCTAATTGCATCGAAAACCACTCAGTTCCTGATGTGTAAATCTCCTTCTCTATTGAATCTATTGAGAAGAGTAGAATAGCATGTGGAGACTTCATTCTTTCATACAGTGATGAAATCTTGGTTTGACCTTACTGCTGAGTTTGCTGATTCATAAACTTCAATCATGACAGGATGTACAAATATACTTCAAACCGTTTCAAGACTCGTGCAGAGCAAGAGGTGAAGAAAGCAGAGCACATGGCGAAGATAGGTGAGTTTTGGGGGTATGCATGCATCCTGACTGTACTGTAGCAACAGCCAGGAAGATAGTGCCGTGCTGGATATGACCTGCAATTGCTTGCTTCTGTGATCATTATGGTTGCTCAGGAGATTAGTTACTACGGTGACTGTCAATGACCCAGACATATTCCATGTAATGAAAGGAATGTACATTGATCCCTAAGACGATTTCCTCTGGGAAATGCTTGTATAGATTGGAGTCACAGCCGTCTGCCCTTGCTCCATCTGAAGTCTGGCTAAGCTGCTGCCCTATTACCCTGCAATTCTGCTCTCACCTTTTGTGTATCATTAGCTTTTGGTTCCATTTTCCTTCTGCTCTTTCCTAGTTGAGGCAGTTGTTCAAAAAGTAAGACTTTTATTCTGTCACTTCATATAAAGTGATTGGTCTGGGTGTACAAGGTTGAAAATGAACATGAGCCACTTCAGTGTGCGCTCACAGCACAAAAGCCAACTGTGTGCTGGGCTGCATCAAAAGCATGAGCAGCAGGTTGAAGGAGGTGATCCTGCCCCTCTACTCTGCTCTTGTAAGACTCCACGTGCAGCACTGTGTGCAGTTCTGGGGTCCTCAACATAAGAAGATACGGAGCTGCTGGAGCAAGTCCAGAGGAGGCTATGAGGATGATCAGGGGCTGGAGCACCTCCCAAATGAAGGCAGGCTGAGAATGTTGGGGCTCTTCAGCCTGTAGAAGAGAAGGCTGCGTGGAGGCTGTCACCAGTCACCCCCTTACTGTCCATGAGCCTTAGCACAGGAGTTTCTGCTCCACGATCTTGCCATGCAGCAAGGTGAGACTGACCTGCCTGTAGTTGCTCACGTTTTCCTTTTTTTCCTTTTTAAAAAAGGGTGCTACTTGCCAGTCCACGTTTACCCCCGTGGACCTCATAGCCTGTAGGATGGAGGAAGATCACTCTCAACTAGTTGTACAGCTTTGAGCAAAACAAGCTTCTGACCTAAAAGGGCACAATGTGCTTTTGGATGCAGAGCATGCAGATGCAAGGTACATGGTGCTGATATACCAAAGCACCTGGTGGCTCAATTTTAGAAAGGGATCTCCTCACTCAAAATGAAATCTGTTGAATGAATCTTGCAATACCAGGGTGAAATGTACCTATTGCCGGGAAGTCTGGGGGAGAAGTGGAAAGGGGAGTTTATTCTAAATGGTAAACTTCGTGCAAACGTCAGGTGGAGTGGCAGGTTTTCAGAGAACTCTGTGTCCTATTTTCTCTGTAGCTCAGATTTGTCTTTTTCCAGGCAAAATTTAGCAATTATCAAAGCTAAAAGCATTTTTACTGCTAGTGCTCTCCCTTCATGTCTGCAAGATTACATCTTAGTAGCTCCTTTTCAAGCCTGAACTCAGTCTTCATTCTGTGACAGCCTTTTCTCTGCCTACATGCTTCCAAGCAGAGCAGACGGGGCCACGTGCATCCTTATTCTTTCCAAGTCCTCAATAATTCCTTCATGGATCCTTCCTTTAAACAGCTTTTGCAGAATTTAGCCTTGCAATTTTGCTGGTGTTGACTGTGATATCCAAGCAAGTTATAAGATGTCAGTGGTGCCCTCTCATAGGTTTTATTTTGTACCCTTTTGTGTTATCCCTGTACCCTTGTACATGTCAATCCAGCAAAGGCTCTCTGGAAGTCTGACCTCTTAGGTGGATGTCTTAGTATATGCTGCATGTACTGTATGGTTGACATCATCCTTTTCCTTGTGTGTTCCAGCGGAGGAGAAGGCTCGTGAGGCAGAAAGTAAAGCCCGTGCTCTTGAGCTGCGCCTAGGTGGGGACCTCACGCGGGAGTCCAGGGTAAGCCCTGTGCTTTGGCAGCGTGTGACGTTTCAGGCACTGGGGACTGACTCAGAGAGCAGCACTGGCAGGTCAGCACCCAGTGGTAGCACCCGGTGTGTAGGTGATACAGGTAGTGACTTCAGTTGGTGAGCTGCTTGCAGCATTTGGGCAGCTCTGTGGGGTCATCACCAGTGGACGTGCTTCAACACCTGTACATGGTTTCCAGCCCAGGTGGCAAGTATGCTGATGTTCTTCAATATATCCTGCGAGGGAAGGAAGCCTGCAGCCCCCAGGCACCTTGTTTGATGTCAGCCTCTGCAGAAGAGGCCAGGGGAATGTAAGGTGTTTGAACAGAAGTAAAACTGGGTGCTTTTTGGCTATGCCCCTTCGCTGCCTGTGTAACTGGCTCCAAAGATTTTGGAGAGGGGCTGTTTGCTTCCTCCTCGTGGTCTATGGCTCTTGGCAGGGGCAAGGCTGAGACCCAGACCACCTCTGGGTGGGAGGAGAGCATGCAGCAGGTATGCCTAGTGCTTCCCCAGGTATCACCAGCTTGAAATCACTGTACTTGCTATAGGCATCCAATGGAAATAGGAGTATCCAAGTACCCTGGCTGTTTCCCTGTGCCTCCATTACCCTCTGGTTTCAGTTAGCTTAGATGTTTAGCTGCATTTTGACATTCTCTTCCAAACAGCTCTGTAGCTGCTTAAATGAGCTAGCACCAAGCACTGCACTAAATGTAAAGACATGCTGATTGTCACTCTCCACTGTCAGTGAATTCTTTAAAACATTTCAAGATCTTCTTGAAGAGGACAAAAAAAATCATAAAATGAGCAAATGATGAGTTTGACAGCAGCAGTTTTTCTGTACCATGCATGTTTGCAGATGATGCTACGCCAAGTCCAAAACTCAGCAATAACCATGCGCCGGGAGGCTGATGTCAAGAAGAGGATCAAGGATGCGAAGCAGCGGTGAGTACAGGGTGGTTCAGAACTCTGCATTTCCCAGGCTGTTCACATCTCTCGTGCTGTGCTTGGGTGGTAGAGGGAGCAGTTCAGCTCTGAGCTTAAATGTTTGTGGGCATCCTGTATGCTCTGGCTGTTAAACCAAGGGGACTGAGTTTGCTCTTCTGGTTGCTTCTGCTGTTCCCCTCTTGCTGAAAGATGTCTTTTTATTTGGCTTGTTTTCTGTAGATGTTTATATGGTTTTCACATCAGCTGTTTTCATTCTTTTGCTTTTTTATCTGCAGGTAAGATTCAGGGAGGCAATGAAATGTTACAGTGAAATGGCTTTTAGAATTGTAGGGATGTTTTCTAAAAACTTTCTAAGCTCTGTTACAGTCAGTGCTGTGAAATCCCAAGGCATTGTTCTCACTTAGCTCTGGTTGCAGTTGACTTTGCTGTTGATGTACTCACAAGAATATTCCACTTTTTTTATAAGTTTTTTTTTTTTTTTACATAGCTGTCTTATGCATTTCATAAATGAAGTTGTAACCAGATAAAAATGCTCTTCAAACAAATGCTGAGTGTGAGAAAGTTTGGGATTTATATATGCCAAATTTTTGTTCCCACCTGGTTGTTTTGCATGCTGGTTTTCATGGCTGCTTAGGTCAGAGCTATCCTAGGCTTGTTGCCAGTGATAGATCTATCACATCTAGCCCAAATTCTATGTTGTCAGTGTTCACAATAGCCCTTGGCAAATGTTTACTGTTAAAATTACTGAAATCTGCTATTCCATGTGTTTTTCTAGTAACTTATTTTAAAGGAAGGTGTATTACAGGGTACTTACACATCTGTGTGGGCAAAAAGATGGGTTTAAACAGAAAATGAATATGAAATGAATCTGTTTCAGGGATTTATTTTGAAATGCTTGACCATTAAGATAGACTTACATCTTCTATCTGCAGAATATTATTGTGCAGCGCTCATGCATGCACAGCTCAGGTTCTTTTAATACTTGATATTAGTAGACAGTCAACAGATCAGTTTAAAGGATTCCACTATTTCAACTGATCCCTTAAGCAAAAGTAAAATTCCTAACTGGGATAAAGCACATAAGTGCTAAGAATTTGGTTAGATGGTGGGGATTTGGAAGTAAGGCAGGTCAGAGATGAGATGGATGGGTAGGACAGTGGTATAGCCTTGCAGTAATTAAAAGTTTGAACCTCACATTTGATGGTACCTTCATTCTGAAATGGAGGATCCTTATCATGAAAAATCCTAAGCATGGATTTCATGGAAGCTGTGGAACCTACTTAATTTTATTTGTTAAAGAGCAATAGTTCTGTTTGTGAGACCTGGGGATTTTGTTTTATTTGTAACACAAAGAGGTCTTGAGGCTCTCTGCATTGCAGGAGACACAGTTCAGACAGGAGATCCAGGTTCAGAAATCCGTATCTCCTCACAAACATTTGAGGCCAACTTTTATTGATGTCATCTGCTGCACAGACAGAAGAAATCATGCAAATTCCTATCCTGTCATTTGTAGGAAAAAAAAAGCTCTGCTTGGGCTGTCTCTTACATCTTCCAGCTTTCGAACTTAGAGTGATGGCATTGGAAAACTTGCGATTACAAGAACTTTCCCAGAATCTGAGTATCAAAATCTTAATTTCCATGCTTTATCTAGCATAGGGATGTACATCTGGAAAATATAAACAAAATCTCATTGGAGAGGACAGTCTGTACCTACCAGTACTACACAGTACTAAAGCTACTGTGTAACTCTTAATTTTTTTGAACAAGCAGATCTGAAATAAAAATCAGAATCCATTTTAGAAGGAGAAACCATATCCAAATAAATAAATAATCTGAGAAGATACTGTCCAGCCTAAGTTGGTGTCTGTATTGCAAAGGTTTTGTATTTTGTTTATTCACATTCAGTAAGTACTTGGTGTTTTTAGCAGTAGCAGACTACAGGATGGGTGTTGGTAAACCCCTGCTGCTTAGAGGTGCTAGATCACTTCTAATGACAGCAAAGAACTAGTTTTAGTTTCAACATTCCTGAGGCTTTTTTTTATTCTCTCTTAGGGCACTGAAGGAACCCAAAGAGCTGAATTTTGTCTTTGGTGTGAATATCGAGCAGCGCGAGTTGGATGGCATGTTCATTTACAACTGCAGTCGCCTGATAAAGATGTATGAGAAGGTGGGCCCGCAGCTGGATGGTGGCATGTGAGTTCCTGGAGATTATTAGGCAATCCTTTTGCTTAAGCCTTGTGAGTTCCTACGTACAATTCAGGCCGTGCAATAACCTTGTTCTGCATTAATTGTTCTTCATGAGTGTGAGGCTTACCCATTGTGTCAGCATTTAGTTTGGATTCTGGCAAATAAGTTACAGTTAATGTTGCCCGGTATTTCCCTGGTTTCTTGATAGAGTTGTCTACACAGATTTTGGTCAGACCTAAAGTGTCAGGCATTTATGCTCAGTGCCAGCCTTTGGGGCTGATAAATACTGGTAGCAATATCACCTCATTCTAGGGACAGGGAGAACAGGCCTTGAAAGCAAATACAGATATTTGAGCCCACATGCTGGGGTATGCTGGCTCCAATCTGACTTAGAAAGCTGATAAATTAAAGCCAGTACTCCTGCAGGAAGGGGTGGGTGGGTATGTGTATAACCTGCTGTTTTCAACACTGATAATCTGATAATTGATCTGATAATTGAATGATGTTAGTGACTGTGTCTTCCTCTTCCAGGGCTTGTGGTGGAGTGGTGGGTGTGGTGGATGTGCCCTATTTGGTTCTGGAGCCAACCCATAATAAGCAAGACTTTGCTGATGCCAAAGAGTATCGACACTTGCTGAAGGCCATGGGGGATCATTTGGCTCAGTACTGGAAGGATGTTGCTATAGGTAATGAAGCTTCACAGTTATCAGGGGCTGGAAGGGGAAACTTTGGCTGGAGGGCAGCAAAGGGGGAGAGCAGCCAAGACTGCAGGTGGTGATTTCTGTGGTAATGGCTCCGTACTGAGCGGGAACTTGTTTGTTTTCCAGCCCAGAGAGGTATCATCAAGTTCTGGGATGAATTTGGTTATTTGTCTGCAAACTGGAACCAGCCTCCATCTAGTGAACTGCGCTACAAACGCCGGAGAGCCATGGAGATCCCTACCACAATTCAGTGTGGTACGTCTGGCCAGGCTGTGACTAGGAGGCTGCTCCTGCCTGGTGCATAGGGGAGGGACCTCTGGCTGCTGTTAGAGAGCAGCAACATGGGTGGGAGATTTGGGAAGCAATGTGGGTAGGAGACTTGAGAACTGCTTTGCTATCGTTACCCTCTTCTAGGGCTTCTCTTCTGTGAGTTGCCATTGTCTGCATCTGATGGTCCGCTTAGATGCCTTGGTAGAAGGTTGCTTTCCTGCAGTTTATTAACCATGATGTTCTTCAGGTGCCCTTACAGAATGGGGCAGGTATGGCCAGTAGCAATGTTGAGGATGGGCTTAGAATGTCATATGAGCTGGAACTCGCCAAAGCCACCCACCCCAACACTAGAATAAGATCTGAAACTTCCTGCAGTAGAAAGTGGCCAAGTAATTCGTATGCTGATGCAGAGGCTTGCTAACCGGTACTAGGTGTGAGGACAGAAGGGAGCTGTTTACAGTCGACTTCCAAAATCAGTGCAAGTTCTCTTCTGTGCACCTCTGAACAGATTTGGCTAAGCCCTTACTCTGGTGTAAGGGAGGTTTCAACACAACAACTTTGTCTCTTAGTAGAGGGACACCAAACTCCCTTGACCTCATTTCCCCACAGGATTTTGATATGAGAATGTAACAAGGAATATGAGGCCAGTCTTGTGGAATTACTTTGTTAGGCACTCTTGCCTTAACAGTTTTCTCAGTCATTTCCAAGTTCCTCCCAAAGAGGAGGGGCTTTCCTGTCATTCTTCTGGTCTTCTGCTCTGGGCATTCTTCCAGAGACTCATTTAAGAATGTTTCCATTTTCTTGGCAAAACTTTTTTTCCTAAGCTGTTGATTTCCTGGTAGGTCAGCAAAGCTCTGACAATGCTCTCGGAGGCAAATCTGTCTTCCAGGTTAATCTAAAACTTACTAGATATTGTAAGTATTTGTTGTGGTTTAAACCCAGCTCTGGTAACTCAGAACCACTCAGCCACTCGCTCACTCCCTACCTTCTTCCTCCCCCTGCTCCCGGAGGGATGGGGAGGAGAATCAAAAGGATGTAACTCCCACAGGTTGAGATAAGAACAGTCCAGTAACTAAGGTATAACACAAACCCACTGCTGCTACCACCAGTAATAATAATGATAAAGGAAGTAACAAAGGGAGAGAATACAGTTACTCAGCACTCGCCAACCGATACCCAGCCCGACCTGAGCAGCGAGCTGGGCCTTCCAAGTAACTCCTCCCATTTTCTTATACTGAGCATGATGTGCTGTGGGATGGAACACCCCTTTGGCTAGTTTGGGTTAGGTGTCCTGTCTCTGCTTCTTCCCGGCTTCCCGTGTCCCTCCTCATTGGCAGAGCATGAGAGACTGAAAAGTCCTTGATTGGAGTAAGCATTACTGAGTAACAACTAAAACATCGGTGTGTTATCAGCATTGTTCTCAGTCTAAAGTCAAAAACACAGCTCTGCAACAGCTACTAAGAAGGAATAAAATAACTGCTACAGCTGAACCCAGGACAGTATTTCTTTTAGTGGATAAATCTCTGACTTCTTTTGTGTTGTTAATCAGCAAGAGCCTGACTTCTGAGGTGAGCAGTGATTTCAGGACTGGCTGTTCGGTTTGGTTTGTACATGCTGTCATTGCAGCAGTGAGTTTGAGGTCCTCTAGTATCAGTTGATCCCAGGCTTCATCAGATCCTTGTTATGGATGCCTTGTACAAAATTTGAGGTCTTCCAGCAAGCATTTTGTGAGCATGAAGCAAGAAGTGGCTCAGTAGATCCTGTGCTTTTCTTTTTTTTTTTTTGTTTTTGTGGCCACTACTCTGACAGTCACTGGATATATGGTAATTGGGGTGGTCCCTGGGCATCAAATAGGGTTGAGAAGCGCTACAGAAAAAAATGACTTTGTGACTCAGGATGTGTATTTCTAACTTGCAAAGTGTTTGTCTAACAGATGTGTGTCTGAAATGGCGAACACTCCCCTTCCAGCTGAGTTCAGTGGAGAAGAATTACCCTGATAGCTGGGTCTGCTCCATGAACCCTGATCCTGAACAAGACAGGTAAGAATCAGTTAATGTAAAGACTTTCCTCCAGTGTGCTTTATCTGCATGTGTTTATTTTTTAACAACTGTGCTTTTGATCCTTAAATTGTACATGTGTTTCCCAAGAAGAAAACTACTGGTTTTGAGATTGTGTGTCCTGCAGAAAGGAAGACGGTTTTACTGCTGCCTTTGGGATGGGTTGTGGGGACAATCAATCCTGTATGAGTGAGACAGCACAGGTTACTGTCATTACTGAGATTGTCTTGCATTCCTGTCCTGCTAGATGTGAAGCTGCAGAGCAGAAGCAGAAGGTGCCATTGGGAACTCTGAAGAAAGACCTGAAATCACCGGAAGAGAAGCAGAAACAACTGGCTGAGAAAATCCGACAGGAGCAGGAAAAGCTGGAAGCTCTGCAGGTGAATCTGGACATCTCCAGCTAAGCACAGCATGTTTGAGGGGCCTCCTAGTGCAAATCACTAGACAATCACCTCTGTCTCAGCCTCTTATGCCACCTGTGCTCCTTACTGTGGCAGGGGTGGTTTTAATAACAGAAAATAAGCATCTCAGTTTGCTAGGGAAATGGGAGGGACTGCTGGTGTTTGGATGAAGCGATGTCTCTTGAAGGACACAGAGCACACCTTCTAACAGTTGTTGATTTGAAGCTGAAGAAGTGTTTGCAGGGCTGGGATAAGGCAAGCCCTGACAGCCTTCAAAGATGGGCCTTTCTGAGTTTCGGTGTTTTTTTTATAGAAAACCACTCCAATTCGATCTCAAGCTGACTTAAAGAAACTGCCTCTGGATGTGACCACACGGCCTGCAGGGGAGGTAAGTGCGATACCACTGTAGGATTTGTACTGTCCTTAGCTATCCTTATTTTCTTATATCCTTATTTGTGCTGTCCTTAACTGCTCTGAAAAGCACTGACAGACTCTTGGTGTCTTTCTCTCTCTGTACCCTCATTTGTTTCAGAACACCCAGTCACCAACCCGACCTCAGCGCCCGCGATCTCCTCCTTTACCTGATGTAATCAAGAATGCTCCCAGCAGACCACCATCTGTACCTCTGGCCAAGTCCACCATGCAGCTGAAAAAGAGCTCTTCAGCTTGGCCAAATATCAGCACTCCCAAACTGGCAAGCATGCTCTCCAAGGAGGAGGCCAGCACTTCCAAGACACACCAGCATGCTCTGACAGCTGGGAAGTCTAACAGCAATTTAAAAACTCATGCCAAACCAGGTACAACACCGAAGCCACCTTCTGCTGCCCTGCAGAATCCCAGAAGCTCACGTGAGACACCCAGTCCCAAAGCTGCCAAGGTGCCAGCAGTAAAGAAGTCTGCCACTGTCAAATGCCCACAGGTGAGACTCATTGGGATGAAAACTGTCAGGTCCTTACCTACTATTCTGCATAGCCTGTCTTGCTCTATTGCATGGGATTTTCACTGTAGTCCCTGTGCAAGGTAACGTTTACTTTACTCTTGGGTTAGGGTGCCATTCCACACCCCTTATGAAGACTCGTTTCATCTCTTTCCTGTTAGACCAGACTGTTTCCCCAGAAATGAAGGAATGTTGAGTGGCAGGGTGAGTGTTTTCATGATCCTGTAGTACCTGCTAAAACCTGCTGGAAAAGCTAATGAACTACCAAATGAAATACTGGATTTTGAGGGCTTTTCTAATTTGGCTGAAAGAAGGAGTTTGTTGGAAGCATGCTGGAATTATATCTTGAGCCTGTTTGCTTCCTGCAGGCCTCCACCACTCGGAAGAGAATCTTGAACGTCTCAGAGGATGAGTCTGAGGAGGAGGAGGAGCACAAGAAAGAGAAGACAAAACGGGGCAAATTTGTGGCTGTGAAAGAAGAGAAGGATTCCAGTGAGGTGGTGGTAGAGGTGAGAGTGCACTGGTTTCCCCTTCAGAAGGTATTTGTCAAGTGTTTATAATCTTGGTGGGAGGCAGCTAATCTGAGCTCTCTCCTCACAGCTTACAGACAGTGCTGGAGAAGAAGAGCTGGCAGAACTCAAGAAATCTCAGAAAGGTGAGAAATGAACCCTTGAACTGCCTCCGGTGTCTACCACAGTGGAAAAGAACTGTTGCAGAACTAGACTCGCTGGTTAAACATGTGATTTCATTAATGAGCTTTTTAAAGTAAGAACTAGTGTAAATTTGGGTCCCAAACCCCAAGATGACTAACTGACATGAAACATTTTGTCCAGGACCCCCTTGGTTAGAAAAGAGGCAACTGTAGCATGGGAAGATCTGTAATCAGAGGCCTGCATCACGTTAACAGGTGTGATGCTTGACTGCATGCTGTAGACTGATGTCACCCTTCCTCACTGAATGGGTCAGGGAGCTATGTTAGCTGAGAGATGCTGAGGACTGTATCTAGACCTGCTGCACTGCTGTGAGGGAAGAGGGACCAAGAGATCCCCAGGAAAGATGATAACCAGGATGTATTGCACCTTCTGTCAGAGCAGTGCATTTCTTCAGCTTCTTCCCAAGGAGCTGTCTGCAAACCCGTGGCAAATTGGCCAGCATGGGCCTGGAAAGCCCATGTCAGATAGCCCAGAGTACAGAGGAAACCTTTTGTCTGAAAATGCCATATCTGGTATCTTAATGTTTCTAAGTAGGATTTGAACTGTGTGACAGTGTTGCTATGATTTGTGTACCATTTGAAGGAATTGTCACAGGTTTAGGTTGGCTCCCAACTGAGAGTCTTCTCTAGAGCTCATGCAAAATGTGCTCTCCAGCATCCAAATGCTTGCAGTCATCTTTGCTATTGTCCTCCTTGCAGATAAAGGGCTGCATGTGGAAGTGCGTGTGAACAAGGAGTGGTTCACAGGCCGTGTCACAGCTGTGGAGATGGGCAAGCATGCAGTACGCTGGAAGGTGAAGTTTGATTATGTTCCTACAGACACCACACCAAGGGATCGCTGGTAACTATCTCTAGCTACTGGATTTTGGAGGCTTGCTTTGCTTTCAGGAGGAAGACCCCTTTTTACTTCCATAGATGCAGAAGACAGATATGTTACTGTCATGTCAGGGAGTGTATATGTGCTCAGGAATGTCCAGCTGCTTCATAAGGAATGATCAGGGCAGACTCCATCCAGTCTGCTGATCACTTTAGTGTGATGTTCCTGTGGAGGCAGCTGTTGTGTAATCTAGAGGTCTCAAAGTGAAGCTGGGTACAGGTTCTGATGAAACTGTTAACAGTGGTTCAGGTATGGTCAATGTAGAAAAAGATATTTGACTTTCCCTCACTGTGGTTTTTTTCAGGGTAGAGAAGGGCAGTGAGGATGTGAGGTTGATGAAGCCTCCCTCTCCCGAGTACCAGGCTCCAGATACACAGCAGGAAGAGGAGGTCATTGTGGCAGAACCTTCTACCTCAGACTGTGTCAGAATTGAGCCAGACACCACCGGTCCCACTAGTAGCCACGAAACAGTTGACTTGCTAGTCCAGATCCTTCGGTGGGTTCACTGCAGTTCTGGTGAGCTGCTGCAGTCTGATTGCTTAAGTCTTTTAAACTCCCAATTCTGGCTTTGTGTTTCTCTTTTCCTGCCTAGAAATTGTTTGCGGTACTTCTTACCTCCCAATTTTCCTATCTCCAAGAAGGAGCTGAGTTCCATGAGCTCAGAAAGGTTGTTGGCGTTTCCCTTGGTGAGTTCAGTATATCTAGAAAAGTAAGTCTGGGGGTTTTCCCCACACACATTCCATTCTTATGGCAAGCATCCATCCTATTGATGCAAGATCACACTCTTCAGAAGGTTGGTTGGGTCCTTCGCAGACTAATGCAGCTGAGAAAAGAATTAAACCCTCTGAAACATGCCTGAGGTCTTCTGACAGTTATTCTCTGAGGACTTTTTAAATTACCATACATCTGTGTGGGAAAGCTGTTGGCTGCTCCTATCTTAACTTCTTGTCCATTGCGGCTAAGCTTTTAAAAAGTGAGGCCAAGTTAGAGGTTTGTAGAAACAGGATGTAGTCAGACTTGTTTGTTTTGCCCCCAGCCTTGTAAATCCAACTTAATTGGCGGTAATCTTAAAACTGGGAGAGAACAGAAGCCAACCTACTCACACTCCTCAGGGGAAGCAGGCTGACTGCCTGTGAGGCCGCTGTGCATCTTGAGGCTTTTGGTGCAGCCTCCAGTTGTTTGGGCAAGGAAGAGATGGGGGCTGAGCCTACACCAGGATCCCTGTGCTGGTGTTGGGAGGTCCAGTGCAGGCAGAAATGCAGAGAAATGGTAGTGGCTTCTCTGACTTCTTTCTTCTCTGACATACTACAAAGGGAGATCTTTTCAGGAGGCATCTGTAGGTTACAAAATCCACCTACAGGTGACTAAACAACAAAAGCCACTGCCTATTTGGCAGTCTTCACAGTGCCGTACTCCCTCATTCACAGTCTGTCTTCCTCTTTTCTGTTAATTCAGGCCTGTGCTTAAGTTACTGGTGCTTCTGCTTTCACAAGGTACCTTGGTCCTGTCAGGAGTTTTCTGCATGTATAAATGTTCCTACCTCGCAGTAATAAACTGTGTTGTCTGGGCGATCTACACAAAGAAGTTGGATATGAACAGAGGCTGTCAGATCTTTCTACAGCATACCTGTGGGTTTAGGCTTTTAAATACATGCTGCATCCTTAATCTGAATTCAGGCAGCTTTTGTTGCAGTTCTGGTCTTTGAGGAACATGAAAACCCTTGTGACTGTTGTGCTGCCTCCAGTAGGCAAATCAGAAATGGAAATGTAAGTGTGGTAATAACCATGTGGAGAGCTGGTGGTGTTTGGTCATGGGATGCAGGTAGCTGGACTTTTCCACAAGCTGCGGATTTTCTTGCCGCTCAGTGCTTTTTCTTGACATATCATTTGATGTGTTTTGTCTTCTACAGAAAGAATATTTCAGGCAGTATGAGGTTGGTCTGCAGAACCTGTGCAATTCCTATCAGACACGCGCTGATGCCCGGGCCAAAGCCTGTGAAGAAAACCTCCGCAACTCAGAGAGAAAGCTGAAGGAAACAGAGGAGAAACTGCAGAAGCTGAGGACTAACATCGTGGCCCTTCTGCAGAAAGTGCAGGAGGTAGGTCAGGAAGGGGTGTGAAACCAAACAACCCCATGAGTAGCAACCTTCCCAAGACCCAGGCCCCTCCAGTCACTTGAGCTGTTTCAGTCCAGCATTAACTGGGCTTCACCTTTCTCAATTGGGTGCAACTTGGGCTTAGATCATGAGAAGCAGCTGAGAGCGCAGCTCCTCTCGCTGTCCACCTTTTGAGTTCCAGGCATCCTGATGAGTGTTCATTTTCACAGATGCATTTTTCATGGCATTATATAGTGCACAGTCTCTATTTGTTCTTTGTTTTTTGCTAGGAAATGTGGGGCTGCAGGAGAATTTCCCTGGGCACAGGCTGTGTTCTGCAAGGAATTTCTGCCCAGATCAGCTTAATAAATCTATTGCTTGAGTGCACTGTTTGAGCATCAAGTGCTGACTGATTTCCAGGCATTGTCCATCAGGCTGTGACAAGGAAAGGTGGTGGTGTTTTCACAGCAGATGTCAGCAGCTGAAGAGGGCTGGAAGTTGGGGTGTAAAGTCTGACCAGGAGAGATGTTGCAGAGGATGCTGTACTGGTGTCTTGTCTGTTCTTACGCTGCTCTTCAAGATGCACTTCTCACTGGTATTTCTTGTGCCTTTGGTTTCAGGACATTGATATTAATACAGATGATGAACTGGATGCATATATTGAGGACTTGATTACAAAAGGAGATTGAGAAGCCCAGTACAAGTCCTAGAGAAGTGCAGAGGAGCTGGTTGCTGCGATGGGATTCCTGCAGTGGAGGACTGTAGTAGCTGATGAGGAGAGAGGGTTTTTAGACAGTACCTGTGTTGGTGTACAACTTGTGACTTGACACAAAGAAGACATTTGTGCTGTTGGCAGGCAGATTTTTAACATTGTAGTTCTCTGGATCTCTTCCTTTTGCTTATAAATATTTATTTTTAAAAGAAATAGGAACTGTACCTGATACGATGGGAGGGTTGCTGTGTGGTTTTTAGCGAGGTAAAAGCATGAGTACCCTTTTGCATCTGGGGTATATTCATATGCTATGCCTGGAAGACCTGAGCATGCTGCCTAGCAAGGCAGTTTAGAATCTGGCAGCATCTTAAAAATAAGCCCTGGGTTATGGAAAAGGAGGCCAGGACTTGGACTTCAGAGATGCTGAACTTGGACTAGAGGAAGTCAAATCAGTAATTTGAGCTACATGGAGGAGGTCAAAGTACAGTCCCTGTGTGAACTTGAGTGGAGGGAATAAAATCCCAGTGGTTCTGAAGGGGTATGGGGTAGGGGATTAGCACTTGCCAGTGCCATGAAATTCCCAAATATGAGTTCTCCATAAGCAAGTGGCATTGTCACCATGCTAATAGCCAGAGGATGAGGAGCCTTTTATAAGAGGATGGTCTCCTAAGCTGCTCACAGTGGGTTGTGATCATCAAAAGGAGAAGGCTGGAGTTCACATTCTTCTCTAGCAGTCAGCTTATTGCACACTTACTGCTGCTGTTACTCTGAGATGTAATTGCAGCGGCAGAAGAGCTCCTCAACCAGCTGAAAATAGAATGACCGTCTATTCTGTTGTCACTCCCTCAGGTGTGTGTTGCTTTGATCAACTTGCTCTTCCAGGTAGTTTTATTGGGAGTGTTGGAATGTTTTGCCTATGGAGGCCTTCACCACTAAGTCCCATGTGGCTCTGGGTCAGCAGCCAGGGCAATGCCTTTCCCTTGTTCTCCCAGCTGAAGGCTACACTACAGCTGCAAGCAGATCATGTGTGGCGACCGTGGTGACTCAGTTTGAGTTCAGTGCCTGGCCATCTACTCAGCTTGGCCAGGGCAGGAAGTCCATTACGTTGGTGCTCAGAAAACTGAAATCCCTAGAACTTGGCAGTTTGAAGAAAGAGTATGACCAAGAGATGCCCACCTTCAAGAACATCAAATGAAATGGACCATTGGGGTTCTTTTGATGGCTGAATGTGTAATAGATGTTTTGCAATAAAAAAGTCCGAACTAAACGTGCTGCGCAGAGAATCTTCAGCACTAATGGTTTATAGTCCTGGAGAACTCTCAAATTCTACGTACTACAGGAAAGAGAAGACTTGCTTATTACTTGAATTCCAGGTCTTTGCAACAGCCTGCAGTGAGACTGACCGCTTCGATTCAGGATCTGGGCCTGAATATCCTAGTATGGATTGATGTAAGGAGGATCCTCCCACCCCCATACACCTTGGACTAAGGGGCAGCATTCCTTCAATGCAGGAGCAAGCTCCACTGGTTGTCTTGATTTCCTTGCACATACTGGAGGTTTTGTTCATTGTGGTGGCATGCTGGTGCTTCAGGTGAATGATCCTTCTGTAGAAACTGAGGTTTATAATAAGGTGAAGGAAGAAAGCTCTGTCCTCTGCAGGTGGCCAGCAGAAATTCTGCTTTATAAGATTCTGGTTTTATATTTTAAATTCTGATTTTAATTCTGGTTTAAGAACCAGGTTTTATTAAAATACAGTTCAGTTGGTGCAAGCTTCAACCTGGAACAGCCGGAGTATACTTGTGTGGGACAAAGAACTCTTGCAACACAGCTCCATCCTCAGCTTCTGCTCTCGGGTGTTAGTCGGGTTTTTTCCTCTGTTCTGTGGAAACTTCTCATTCCCTTATTATCATTATTATTATTATAAATTTATTATTTATTATTTCATGGCATTTTCATTCTTTGCTCCTGTCCTGGGTATTTATGCTGAGTTACTTCTTGTCCCTGGGATTCCTTCCACTGGTACACTTGATGTGTCGTCTCCAAAGGTCCATTTTGCGAGGAAAAGCCAAGAGCTTCTTAGTGCCAACTAAAAAAAAGTTGTTCATTCTCAAAGTATCCCTGGTGGCCCCCGTAGGAGCTTCTGTTGGATTTGATTTTCTTTTGACCTTATTAAATAGACTTGTGGGCAACATCAGATTTTAGTAATGCCTTAAAAACACATAGGAACAAAAATAACCTGCTCCAAATGAAGTGTACTCAAAAGCTGTATCATGTTGTTCAGGGCCTTTTCCAGTTGAATCACAGAATCCCAGACTGGTTTGGATTGGAAGGGACCTTAAGGCTCATCCAGTTCCAACCCCCTCCACGGGCAGGGACACCTTCCAGTAGAGCAGCTTGCTCAAAGCCCCGTCCAGCCTGGCCTTGAGCACTGCCAGGGATGGGGCAGCCACAGCTTCTCTGGGCACCCTGTGCCAGTGCCTCAGCACCCTCACAGGGAAGAGCTTCTGCCTAAGAGCTCATCTCAATCTCCCCTGTTTGTGCCCATTGTTAGTCATCCGTTCGGGAAATTCTTCCTGCGGCTGTCACCCAGACACACTGTGGCACACTTATTTCTACTGCTAAGGTTGCTAATTTATGTATTTAATAACGAGGCAGTAAAATAACTTTTTTAACATGAACTTTTGCTTCTCATGATGATTATTGCTTCAGGCCAACTTTGCCTCAGCTTCATGCATAGCCCAGAGGGACTCCTGTCAGCAGGACCACGATAGTCCTTGCTTGCTTCCCTTGCTGATGTGCGAGTCTGACCTTGGAACACGAGCTCTGTTCATGATCCTCCACCTTATACAGATTCACCCAGTTCCTCTTGCGGAGCGGGACAGGAACACCTGAGCTCACAGCCATTGATCCTCTCCCAGTGTGAAGGACACGGTCCTGCCTGCGTGTCTTTGAAGATCATGTGTTGCTGCTGCTCCTTGAAACCACATCAGCAGCGTCAGATCTGGCATTTGGTATAATGGCAGCAGGATCAACATTTCCTTTTGTTTCTTGTTCTGCAAGTCATTCCTGCAGCCTGGGACAAGGCCTGGTGGGGCTTTGGGGTGCCAATTGCTCTCAGCCACCTTGCAGGGCTCATTCCCCTCATGCAGTGGGATACACTTGGTCTCCTTCCACCGTTACCTTGCCCAAAAGGCACAGCAAACTGCTCTGCCAAGAAATTCCTTCTGCTCTGCAGGCCCCAGGGTAAGCAGAGTACCTTAGGAGAGTACCAGTTATCTTGAAATCCCTCTTAGCAGCAGCTGAATTTGTTGTGGTCTCAGAGTCCTGGTCACACATGGACTGCTTTGGCCAGAGCCTGCCTTGTGGGATGAGACCAGATGCACAACTCTCAGATCATCTTACTCTTCCCTTTCTTATTAGGAAAGCTTCAGCTGCACAGTAGGAGCAGAAAAGACCCTCCTCTAAGCCTGCATTGGAAGGGAGGCTCCAAGAAAGCACTTCAGCACCCTTTAGGAGCCCTGCAGGACTCTGGGTGCCTGCCACATTAGTAGAATGATAGATCAGGTTTATGGGGGACCTCTGGGAGCCCAGGTTGCATATCCAGTGGTCAGTGTGTGGGGAAGCCCAGTGCTTTGGGCCACTCCAGCCCAAATGCTCTCTCCCTGTTTTGCTGCCCACTGATGAGCAGAACAAGTTATCAATTCACTGTCTTCTTGTCCTGCAGCATGCCCCAGGAGAGGGCAGGGGATGGGCATGGGGATATTAAGGTGCTTCTGAGGCTCTTGCTATTACTTGGACACACTGAGCAAGGCATCTGAGCAGGGAGGGCTGTGTTGAGTTGTGGAAGTACAGCAGGATGGTGCCACAGAGCCCATCACTCTCATTGGGAAGGAGGAACCTGACTCCCAGTGTCATGGGCAGCTGGTCCTGAAAGAAAAAACAGCCCAGAAGCTTTGGCTTGGAAGAAAAGAGGAGGGGCACCAGGCCCAGGGTGTTTGCATGGCGCACACAGCCCAAGGCCCTTGTCTTCCTTGTCTCTTCTGAGAAGCCTGTGGTGATGCTACCGAGCCGCTGTGTGCAGGGCTGCTGTGCCTGGGGCCGGGAGTCCCCGTAACGGGCTGGGCTCTGCAAAAGCTGACAAGAAGCTACACTGAGAAGCCAGGCTGGGGCCAGTGCCACCGCCCTCGCTCCTGCTGCCTCCATCCCTGTCTCAGCGTATGTGGCTTTGGTTTTTGCTTGCCAAGCAAGGCACGGGCAGCCGTGCTCTGCGCGTCTGGTGGCTTGGCGCCCTGCAATGCGGATCTGGCACCAGAGTCCATTCCCATCCTGCCTCCCTTGCGCCATGCTCAGGCAGAGGCTCGATTGCCAGTGGGGGCCGTGTGGTGGAACCTATCGAGCGAGGGCACTGTCACCAGCCGTTCATGTCGCCTGCAGCCGCCCCCCGCGCCGGCACCGCCGCCGGGATCCCCGTCCACAGGCGGGCACCGGCCCCTCGTGCTGCTGGGCTCGGCTCGGCTCGGCTCGGCTCGGCTCCGGCTGGGCTGCTGCCCGGCTCGGCTGAACTCGGCTCGGCTCCGGCTGGGCTCCTGCCCGGCTCGGCTCGGCTCCTGAGGCAAGGACAGTCGGCGACCGCGGCGGCACCTGTGGCCGTGGAGGGGCCCGTCCCCTTCAGCGGCGCCGCGCACTGACCGGGGGCCTCGTAGGCCGGCAGCGGAGCTGAGGCGGTGGCGACATCTCCCCTCTCGCCTGCCGGGGCGCTAGGCCGGCGTCCTCAACGGGTCCCGGCCTTCTCCGAGCACGCAGGGGGTCCTTCCTCTCCCCCACAGCCTGGCGTCGGTCACGGACAAGGGCACGGTACTGCCTGGGGGAGCCCCGGGAGGGAGAGGTCCGTGAAGCTCCAGGGCCGCCGGGAGCACCGTTCAGAGCAGCGCGGCTGGAGGCAGCGCGGTGTCAGCTCGAGCCTGTCCCGCTGCTCGTGCTGCAGACACCCGGTTCCACCGACCCGCACGGCCCGGTGATGTTCTGGCTGGCGGGAGGTGCTGCAGGAGGGGTGCTCGCTCTGCACGTTTCCTCTAGTGCGACAGCTGCTTTCGTCTTTTGTTGTGTGACAGGAGAGAGCTGGTGAAGATTTAGTAATTTCCCTTTGACTCTCCTCCTTCTCTAGGCTGGCATTCAGGGAGAAAGATGCCATTGAAACCATTTAGCTGTCTGTTGCCTGAAACAAGGTTTCTTCACGCAGGCAGGCGTGTGTACAAGTTTAAAATCCGGTATGGCCACTTCAGCAGGTAAGCATGGTAAAGCTGCGAAAGCAACCTGCAGTCTGATGGCAGCATGTAGCGGCGAGTTAAGATCAAACCCCAAATTCAGATCTCGGGAGCTCCTCATTTCCCGCCTGCTTTCACAGAAACTGAAAGTGGTCACTTAAAAACTGCTCCTGTACTTTCCCATGCTGGGTACTGGCCTGGGAGAGTAAATTGAGCTGTAAAAATGCTCTCATTTCACTGCCTTATGTGGAGTTTGTGCTGCAGTGGGTGAAGGGGCTGCTTTTCCTGACAGTATTTTGAATTTTCTAAGTGTTTAAGTGAGAAGCTCCCCAGCCTTTACAGTTATTCAACCCCTACATGCCACACAGTCACTCAGTCACTGCCCCACAGTGGGATGAGAGAGAGGATCCTGGAAGGTAGAAGTAAGAAAACCCATGGGTTGAGATAATGACAATTTAATAAGTAAAGCAAAAGGCATGTGCGCAAGCAAATCAAAATGGGGCATTCATGATGATGGGCAAGTGCTTTGCAAGTGGGAAAAACCTTGACCAGCTCAAGGGGTTCTGGAGTTTTAGTTTGAGAGAGGACTCAGAATCCTGGGCGTTGTGATCTATAATCACAGAAGTTTGAGCTGCTCTGGCAGCAGCATGCCAAATAGGCTGTCTCTAGATCTGAAGCTACATGAAATCTCTTGCCACACTTGTCTCCTTTTTCCTTTGTGGAAGTAGGCTGGGTCTTTGAAATGCTGTTGCATGACTTTATTTTGGGATGAAGTAGAACACCATTGTTTCTTTAGCTTTGCTTAGCATTTTTCCTGGAACAGTGTCACATACAGGAGGATTAACCTTCCTCCTTGTTCTGTTCTCTTGTTCACTTTGGAAAGGAAGATGTGTTGTCTGGTGGTGTTGTGTGGTGTTCAAAAGATCCTTGAAATGTTGCTCTTGTCTGTAACTGAGCTCTTTCCCTCAGTGTAATCCCTTTGGAAGGCTCTGCTGGTAGTGTGCACATGCTTCTGAAGAGCCTGTGGGTGTTTGATCTGGTGATCAAGAGAGCGCTGCCTTTGTCTGAGTCTCTTTACCCCTGCATGTCTCGTGTGCATTGCAATTCATTGGTAGACTTGAGGGAGCAGGGGGTGAGACTTTTGAAGTACCTTTTGTGTTTAACAGTAATTTCTGGAATTGATGGTGAGCTTGTCAAGTCTGTCTTCATGTCTTCATGTCAGCATGGTCCAGTATAGCAAAAGCAACTCCTTGTACAGCAAAACTTGTGAAACTTCCTCACTGTGTCATGGTTGTGGTGAGTGGGGGTGCTTATTCAGAGCATCTGGATTCACTCCCAGATCCTAAGAGAGAGTGAAGGAGTAAGTCCTAACTGCATCTATAGCCTTATGTCCAAAGCAATGCTATCAGTCTGCCTGCAGATTTGGGAAGTGAAACTCCTTTTGCCGGCAATAAGATGGTGACTAATCTGAGGCCAGGTTTCCAAAAGAACATTGACAGAGTTGCAAGAGCTGATCACAGAGCTAATCATCTACACATGCATATTGCTAGAGCAAGGTCAACTTCACTGAAGGTCTCCTGAATTCCCAGAAAAAAAACAGGGAACAAGGAAGGTTCTTCCCTTCTTTAAAGATGAGACTGTTTCTGCATCTCTACACTCCATCTTAAAAGACAATATTCATCCCCTCCTCCCCAGTCCCTCAACCCAAGCAATGAATGGCCTCCTTGTCAGGAGACCCTGGCTGGATCTTCTTCCCACCCTCTTCTTATCACCATTACAACATGCCTTCTTGAATCATAGTTTTGTTTTCCTGCTGGTCCATGAAGACTTTGTGACCACAGCATAAGTCTTGGGTGGGTGATACCTGTTCTGCTGTAGTGCGCTGCAGGAAAGGAATGTAATTCCTTTCATTAACTTATGCTGTACCAGGCAAGGAGAGAGACTTTCTGAAGAGGAAGGAGAGCTCTCATCTCTGACCTAGTTCTGGCTGGGGACCCTGAATGTGAAGGATATGAGAATGGCTGCTTACTAAGCCATGTACCAGAGAATGCTTGCATGGCGTAATTGCTTGCACTCCACTTATTTGCTTATTTCCAAGTGACATTTATGTGATTTCTTTACTTTCTAATGTGTTTGGATTTTCTGTAAGACCTTCTCTCTCCTTCTGCATTTTATTGTTGGCTGACACCTCACAGCAAACAACTTCTGAGAAGCTGTCCTACAAAGGATGTAGCTAATATTTGGGAACACAGTTTGTTGCAGGCAGTACACAACTCCCAGCATCCAGTGCTGTGAAGGCCTGTTTCTCTGCAGGTTTGCACTATGGAGGTGATTAAGAGGCATGTCCTGCCAATTCCTTCTTGTAGTCCCTTGAGCAGAAGGACATCGTGATAGGCTGGAAGACAGAGGTGCTGGTTTGAGGGCACCTTGTCAGAAAACCCTAAAGGTTACTGAGAATTGATTGGAAAGATCTGGTCTCCCACAAAATACAAATGGGCACAAAATTCACAAGAAAAGTCCCTGTGGAATAATGGAGAATGAATTCATCTGCCCACTTAGTATTTTCTCTGTGCAATGGGAATGATGTTTTTTTTGTTGTTTAAACTTTACAACAAAGATAGCTCTGTTGCTTTTTGGTTTGGGTGGGACTAACTCTCTGTGTTTGTTTCACAGTAATCCTGATTTTGACAACACGGAAAGTGCTGTCAAGGAGTTAGAGGTAGGAGATGAAGCAGGTTCACAGAAACTGAGCTGAAAGTTCAGCTGAGCAAATCTTTTGTTATGGGACTGAGGACATTTTGTAAGATGCAGTGCTTTGAGTGAGAGTGATGGGGAACCTCTCTGGACAGTATAATGGTAAAAAAAATGGTATAAATGAAAACTGTCCTTGACAGGCAGCATTAGCGTAGAAGACAATTGAAATATCTCAGAGAAGCTAGACTGTTAGCATTAGACAAATGAAAATGCCTATTTGTTGAGTGAGTTGCCCCCATCCCTCTCTGATACCTGTTCAGATTAATCCTGCAGTAGCACTTGCCCATGGTTTTGCTCTTAGTCCCAGACCTGACCACTGCTTTTAACTTCTCAGGCTTGACTAGCTGTCAATACTCTCTGGTTTTCCAGGGGCTGTGTCAGTACTGGTGAGCTAGCTTGACAGAGACTGATGTAATGCTCAGTTGTACATGCTTTCCTCCTAGTTGTGGAGCTACTGGAATCAGTGGTGGCTCTTTTAATGGTGCCATTACTTTGTGACCAAGCTTGGTGGCAACTGTTCCTGTCATCTTCTTCCTGAGACAGAAAGAAGGCCCTGCCATTCCTGAGGAAACGAGACAACTCTATTGCCTGCTTAAAAGTGCTCCTGTTACTTCATTTAAAAAAGTCTTCAGAGTACAACAATAGCATTACAAATATTATTGAAGAAAATGTGCTGGGTTTAACTGATACAGGAAATCAATGGTTTGGTGTTGGTTTTTTTTTTCATTTTTGAAAAATACTGAAAGGTATTACCAGAAAAAGTTTCCCATTTTTGAAGCAGGGTTTTGTTGGAGCAGAATTACAGTTCCTATTCATCAAATTGGGTCAATATCCAGAAAAAGGGGAATATGTTTGTATTTTAAAACAGGTCAATACTACATGTGTTTTCCTGGTAACAAGAGACTTCTTAAATGTAAAACTTGTTAAATTTAAAAGCACACCTCCACCCTCTGTAGTAATGGTTAATGTTAATTCAAGATTAAGACATTCACTCACTTTGATTTCGATGAGCCTGTTAGTGCAGTTCACTTTAAGGTGATGGGCAAAGAAGGGGATGAGGAAAAGCAAAATATCTAGAACCTGCTCTTCTGTGATTTGTGCAAACTGTAATTTTAAATTTTTCCCAAGCCTCAAAACTGTACTTGATGGTGGAATTGTGGCTGTACTCTTAATATTCTTCCCTTTTTTTGGCCTCTTCAGGAAGCGATTCGAGTAATCCTTGGAAATCTCAATGATTTGCATCCATTTTCTACAGACCACTTCACTATTTTCCCATGTATCCTTTTTTTCCTACTCGCCAAAGAAATGACGTGTCTGGGGGGCATTGATGAATTTGATGTTCATGTCCAAAAGCATGCAGGTCTTTAGCTGGAGTACAACTGCTTTGAGCTTTGCAGCATTATGTTAGCTGAAGATCCTCCTCAGTTTTTGCCTTTACCAGAGGCACCAGAGGTTTCAGAAGGTCAGTAAAATGTAAGATGCTCCTCACAGGCTCAGTAGGAGAGAAGACTGCATTAGTTTTCTTGCAAGGTACATTGGGATTAAATGACGTCCATGAGCCTCTGAGGATCAGTTGTACCTGCAAAGCTGTCCTCAGTCTGTAAAGGAAGAAGTTAGCTTGAACCTGAGAGACTAGGATAACATTCCCATGAAGTCTTACGTTGCTTAAAGGGATGTTGAATATAAAAGTTGTTTCTTGGGTGGGAGTGAATGTGAATATATGCTTATGTACCCACACAGGTGGCTGAGAGGAGCAAAAGTCACCTCACAGAGTGAGTTGTGCTAGCAGTAGTTAAGCTGAGAGCTGGAAGACTTAAAGCAGGCTTTTGAACACACAAACCCTGCAGGATTGTCACTCAGTTATCTGGGTCACCTCTTCAATGTAGTGTTTGAAGTCTAGGTGTAAAAGTGAAACAAATGTCCTCCACCCAGTATTCACCGTGTTTTATTCTTCCCCCTTACTCTTTTAGGACCAGCCACTACTTTTTTCCATCTCCTCTAAACCTTGCGGTGGTGATAGCTGCTGTCAAAAGACAGGAGTGTAAAAGCTTTGTGCCATAGCACAGCATCAGCATGTAGAAGCTAATTTTTGAATATTCTCACATGCAGGTTTTGTTGTTACAAAGTTCATTTTGACAAGTTGTATCTGCTCCCTCATACATGTGTTCAGTATGGTCTGACTTCAGAAGCTTTACAAGAGGACATTGTCTGAACTCCTGCTCCTTTGAAATGTTAGTGCTGTGTTCTGAAGTCTTATCATCATTCTCAGATTTGAGTAAATGGGAGAGAGTATCGAAGATGAGATTCAAACATGAGAATGTCCATCTTACGCCTTATCCCTACATTTGCACTATGTATCTAGAACTGAACTCATTTTGGCAAAACGTACCTTGTGGTAAGTCTGTATGGTATGTTTGCATAATTTCTGGAAGCATCTATGATCCTTGTCTTTTCCCTTTCCCTTTCCCTTCCTCTACTGTGTCTTTGAATTAGAGGGAGCAAAGCTGCGTGCAGTATGGCTGTAGTATGGATTTGAAACAGAGCAGAACAGTGTGTATTGCTTTTCTAAAACTTCCTGAATCTCTTTGCCTTTTCTGTCACTGCTCACTCTTCAGCTAGTATTTTTATGAAGCAGTACCCAGTGGTTCCCAACCTTCATTCTTTAATGTCAGTGGCTGGGCTGGGGACAGCACATGTCTATGGAACACGTTTTTCTTCACGTTGATTACGTCTGTTGACATTGAACTTCACACTCTTTGTTTCTGTTTTTCCAATGAAAGAATGTGTTTTTCTAAGTAATGATAGTAATAATGGGAATAATGTTTTCTGTAAAATTAGCAAATGCTCTCCCCTCCCTAGTGTCTTGTTTTCCAGTTTTCTATGAATTCCCTGAACAGCTTCAGGCCCCAGCTGACACCTCTGTGGGACTCTACATTTAACCTCCTCTGTTGTGAAAACTGAGTGTTTATTCTTACTATTTCCTGTTCTGGTTTTTGGTCCGTGGATAAAGCTGCTGTTTTTTTCTTACAACTGCTTAGTAGATATTCTTGTCCCCTTTATAAAATGGACAAGTCATTTCTTAGTCTCACCCATTTGCTTGTGTGTAGCATCCTCTACCAAAAAGATCGTGTTTGGATTTAAAAACTTCTAAACATGGAGAATTCACTCCCTTCCCTGTACACCTTGCCCTGGTATTTAACTGCCCTCTCCACATAGCTATGCAATGCTTCTATTCTACAGTTATGCACAGCATAATGTGCTGTTACTTTCGGGCACTGAAACATGTATGGATCCCATGCATCAAAGTGGAGTGGCCAATATTCTGTGGAGTCTATGCTTCAGCTGTCCTTGCATCTTCCACCTGGTGCACAGAACATAGGTGCTAACAATTTTTCAGTACCTTCTGCTCTTCTGAAGACTCCTTGGATTTCTTCAAGAAAAGCAGCTTTCCCCATCCCATCAACATGTGGTATCCATAGCCAGGAATTCTAGTTCTGAAAGAGCTGTATTTGCAGTTCTTCAATATCAGCATCTTGTATGCAAAGTACAGTATAATTTCTAAGTAGTTTGTCTTGTTCTCAGAAAGTGAGGTGCAATGCAAAAATGTCCTTTTAAGATGGTTAAAGAATGTCCAGCCTAAATATTCACCAATTTTGTAATAATTCTGTTACAGGTAAAGAAGTAAACAAGGGCAGTGATGAGCTTGTAAGTTGTGTGTGTGGTTTTGTCCTGTGGTTTGTTTGTCTTTTAAGTTATATTCTGAATAGCTTGGAGGAACAGGATATATTATATATAGGCAATGCTGAAATCTCCTGTTTCTAGGTGTCAGGCAGGCAATGTTAGGTGGCACTGAATTCTCACCTAGAACCATCCAAGTTGAGAGCAATCTTCCTGTCAATTCCATCAGAGTCTGAATGAAGGACCTGAGAGTCCTGCTGGCTGCAGCTAAATGTGTTTTCTGCAAGTCTGAGCTGAGCTGTCAAATGGTTTCTTCATAGTGAGAGTCTGTGAGAGTCTATAGAAGAATTAAATAGTTTTCTGGGTGCTGCATATGTCAGAAGAAACAATGTTAAGCTTATTGGGAAATTTTTTGTTTAGTGAGGGCTCAGAGTAGGCTTGTTTTCAATATGGGAAGTGTCTGGAGATGGAGTGAATTAGTGAAGACGTTCTGTCCAAAATGCCCAAACAAAAATCCCCCTAACCCTCCTGGCACTGCATTCCTGCTAATTATATCCTAGGCCCTCTTCTGAAGATGGAGCAAAAGGGATGTCCTGGGGAGCAGTATTTCCTGTTTAACACCATTGAACATAATTCTGTGGATGGCCTCTCAGTGCTTATCTTCTGTTTGAATAAGGTTGCTCTGGACTCATTTTTTGGTTTTCATTGTATGAACATGAACAATTTTGCAAAACATGAACGTGTATTAACTCTGAATTCTGTTCTAAAATAGAGAAGTCAACATCAAATTTTATCCATGCCAATTTTGCAATGTTTTGAAGGTGAAGAGAAGAAATGAAGTGTCAGAAAGTACTGCAGGGCAAGCATCAGTGAAGGGGAGAAGAGTGGAAGTCCAAGCAGAGACCTCATGCCCACAGCTGGGTATCGACAGGTCAGTTAACTACAAAATAGTCTTCCAGGGCACATAGCAGTATTTTTAATGTCTCATGTACCTTTCTCATATTTCACTCCTGTGTAATCCTTTGCTCCGTTTTTCTTCTTCCTTCTCTTTCATAGGTGACAGGCTCTAAGCAGCATTGCCCATACTTGCAGAAAAGTTGTCCTATGTTTTCAGGCTCCCATGGCATTAACTAGAGGTCTCCCTGTTTATCTCCTTTGTATTAACATTATCTATAGAATCACAGTGGGATGAGAACTTGGCAGCTGGCTTGCAAACCTAAGCCAGGGATGACAAGGAAAGAACTGCCAACAGTTTTCTACCTGCACCCCAGCCTGTTCCTCTGTGTGGGCTGATGGATGCTGCCTCTCAGCTTGAGGCTGAGATCTCTATCTGTTGATTTCACAGATTCATTGAGGTTGGATGGGACCTTTGATATCATCAAGTCCAAGCCCTCCTGCTCAAGCAGGGTCATCCAGAGCAGATTGCCCAGGACATGTCCCTTTGGGTTTTGTGTGGACTTCAAGGGTGGAGACACCACAACTTCTGTGGGACCTGGCTGCAGTGCTTGACCACAGCTGCAGTCACAAAGGGAGCCCAGTCTGGGCAGAGCACACAGACTGGCCTCAGCAGCCCTGAGCAGAGGGGAAGGGTCACCTCCCTTGAGCTGTTGGCAAAACTCTTCCTAGTGCAACTCTGGATGCTGTTAGCCTCCTTCAGTATGAGGGTGCAATGTTGGCTTATGGTGGATAACTTCAAGCTTAGTCCTTGATTACCTCTCCGAGGCAGGCCCATTATTAATTATAGTCTAGCAGGCTTCTTTCTTTCATAGAGTGTAGCTTTTAAAAACAGGAAATTCCTCTCTGTTCGCAAGTGTGTGGCAGAGAGTCCCAGATCCAACACTGTGATCAGAAGTGTTTGTTCTCACCTTTCCCCTTCCACAGCCATAAACAGACCAAGTCAAATCATCTCCCTTGTTGCCTTGGATTTTCTGAGAGTGCTGAGCTCTGAGAATCTCCCCAGTGATACTGGTCAGCTCAAAGAGCACTATTGGTGTGTGAAGCCAGGATTTGTTTTCCCCATGTGCATCACTTTGTACCTCTCTGCACAGTTTCCTCTGCCATTTTATTGCTCTGTGACTGCAATAGGGTCTTTCTGTGATTCTTTGCTACCTGCCCTTCTCTTTGTGAGGATTTGCAAGCTTTCTCAACTCACTGCTCATCCCCTTTTCTATGTCATATAACAGTTCTCTTCAAGTGTTCGTTGGTTTTACTGGAAAAGCAGAAAGCCTAATATGAGAACAAGTGCATGTTTTCATTTTTTAAGTGAGACTTTGAAACATGAGCACAAGTATAGATTAAGGGTACCTTGTTGGCTAGAGGTACTAAAATCCTGATTCCTAATAAAATACTTGGAGTAGTCATTTACAAGTTTGCTTCCTTTTTGTGACTTTTTGTAAACTCGGTTCTTATCTGACTTTTTTTAGGACTGGAGCTGAATATGTTCACCATATGAGTAAAGCAAAGCATGGATTTGAAAAGGTAGGCTAGAGTATTCAGGAAGAGCTAGCGGCTTCTGTTTAGTCCTAGGTTCTTAAAGGGGTAAGCATAAAGATGCCTTCAGGTAATTCTTCTTGCCTTTTCATGTATGTCAAGACATTTGAGATTCCTGCTCAACAGACTTAGCCATGAGTTTTACAGGGAGATGGAACAAGCTTTTCTGACTGTCCAGCTACAAACTTTAGGGGTGAGCTTAGCTTCTCAGCTTCTCAGAGGTGGACCTGAAGATGCCCTGCCTTGTCTGCATGACTTCGGTCCTCTTTTACCTCAGATGCCCCTTTGTGCAGAACTCCATGAAGTGCTAGCAGTGGGTGCTAACACCTTCACACTGCTTCAGTGTGAGTACTTGTCACTACCGACCAGTGTCCTTTCTCTAGGCTAGATGGCCTTGCAGGCATCTCCCTCTTCTGGAAACAGTGTCATGACTTTTCTCACCATGTCATCAGAAGGCAGATTTACAATGGGATTGTTCCAGAGGGATTAACAATTGCTTTCTAAACCCACTGTTCTCCCAAGGCTTTGTTAGGAGGGAAGAGTCTATTTTAGCCCTCAGGCTGGAAGCCTACTCTGACCAAGCTGCTGTTAGGCAAACCTGTTAGGTAACAGGGTTTTCCTTAACACTCCTGTTTGCCTCCTCCTGGCTGTTGCCCATTCTCCCAAATGTCCCAGTGCATTTTATCCATTTTCTGGATAGTGATAGTCATTATAAATTTAGTTCAAATCCCTGCCACACTATCGCCTTCCTGGCCTTTTCTCCTCTCCAGCTCTTAGGAGAGAGTCTTCTCCCAGAAGACAAACACATTTCTCTTGGAATTGTCCACAAAGGAAGCTGGTTTAAGGTTTAAGCCCAGCCGGTAACTCAGAACCACGCAGCCACTCGCTCACTCCCCTCCCCCCCTTCCGCCCCCTGCTCCCGGAGGGATGGGGGGGGAGAATCAAAAGGATGTAACTCCCATGGGTTGAGATAAGAACAGTCCAGTAACTAAGGTATAATACAGATCACTGCTGCTACCATCAATAATAACGATAAGGGAAATAACCAGAGAAGAGAATAAAACCGCTCACCACCCGCCAACTGATACCCAGCCCGACCAAGCAGTGATCTGGGTAACTGCCCCCAGCTTATATAGTGGGCATGACATGCTGTGGTACGGAATACCTCTGTGGGTAGTGTCCTCAGGTGTCCTGTCTCTGCTTCCTCCTGGCTTCCCCTCCTCCCTGGCAGAGCATGAGGCTCAGAAAGTCCTTGGTCAGAGTAAACATTACTTAGCAACAACTAAAACCATCAGTGTTATCAGCGTTGTTTCCATGCTGAAAGTCAAAAACACAGCACTGCATCAGCTACTAAGAAGGAGAAAAATGACTGCTACTGCTGAACCTAGAATACAAACCCAAAGTATTCTTTCAGAAGAGGGTTTTTTTATGGCTTTCTTACATTTTCAAGACAGGAAGGAGACTGCTTGGTACCCTCTCAGGAGCATTCAGTAGAGAAGAATTTATCTAAAATGAGCAGGCTCATTTATCTCTAAAACTTCTATCACTCCCCCCCCCCAACTCCTTCCCACCCCTCAGCTTATCTTTGCAGGATTAGTGACAAGTCTCTACACAATGCCTTTCCTGTCTTTCTTCAGGTGCTCCATACACCCTCTTGGTGGGGTAATAAGGGTCATCCTCTGAAATGCTTTTTTATTCCTTGCTTTATGCTAACCGCTGTCCTCAGAATGCTCCTTTTATAGTGATTGGACTTCACAAACTAATATTATAGTTCTTAAAAGCTAGAGCTCCAGGTTAGCATGTTGGATCCTGAGGAATAATGTGGTAGGTGGCAGACATCACTGTGACCTTGTACTGTGTGAACTAATATGCAAGGACATGTCCTGAGCTCTTTCCAGGTAAACTGGAACTGTGATGAATGAATCACCAGTTCAGGTGAGAGAAACCTTGTTCAGAACACATGCTTGTCCCTGAAATTTGCACTGGTTAGGGCAGTGAGAGGGATGGATGTCCAGATGCCAAAACTTGTGTTTATGAATAGCAGACCAGATTTCATGAGCAATGCATGAAATCATGGGGAGAGGACTTCTCCTTCACATGCATTTTTTTTTTTAGGCGATCAGACAGGTACTCCTGTGATGTGTTTCCCAGTTGGTTGCTTTCCATTTGGTTTCTTCTGTGTAACAGTTCCTGGGTTCCTTCCTTTCAGAATTCCTCAAGAGAAAATGAGCATGAGTTTAGTCCAGCATCTCTTACCATGGACTACAGCCAAGTGAATTTCTGTAAGTGAGGAATTCCCAGATTGTTTCATTCATATAGTGGTCATATCAAATCAAAAGCTGCAAGGATTACATCATTATTAGTTTTCCTTTAAGAATTGTGTTTGGTGTTTTCCAGCAGGTGAGAGTGAGAATTAGAATGACCGTAAAGCTGTAGGTCACCCATGATTTTGACTGAGGCTGTCTTCCCCCATCATGAATTCCCACCCGTACAGCTGGGGTGCACAGCTTTCAGAGCTGGGCTGTGAAACGGGAGTTCATCTCCAAGTCAGCCTGTATTGGGATTGCTTTGAAACCTGCCAGGCATTAGGTTGGTCAGTCTGGAGACACCTTTCAGCCTCAGCATCTGCTGTTGGGTGTGCAGGGAGTGTGCAGGGAGTGAGCTTGTGGTTTTGTTCTTGCTGCTGTTTCTTACAGGGGGACCTGTTGTGCCTAACCCTGAACAAAGAAGAGCAACCGGTCAGGCTGAGGGTGCAGGGCAGCTACTGCAGCAAATGGACCGCATGGTAAACAAAGGAGACACAGAGTTGGAAGGAAGAGGTCTCTCAGGGTTCTGGAGAAGGTACTAATACTGTAGCTATGACCAGATGCAGGCCGACTGTGTTCGAGACTGTGTCAGAGACTATGCCTGACCCTGGCAGTTCAGATGATTCTGCCTTATCTTGAAGAATGGATCCCTCTTCCCTGTGGGTATACCAAAGTCTCCCAAGGCAAAGGAACGTGCAGGGGTGTCCTTTTGTCTTGTGGTAAGGTGCAACATCCCCAGTAAATATTCCTCTTCTGAGCTTTTTGGGGACTTTTTTGACCTTTCTGACTCTTCTGAGACTTTGGGGAAAAAGAAAACCCTCACATGAGTATTACTGACCACAGCCACAGCCCCCATACAATGTGGCTTTTATCAGATGAGGAGTGCCATCTCCAGCCCCATTTCTAAAGGACTTAAACACTCCCTCTTCTAACAGGGCCTTCCCAGGGTGGACCTTCAGCTCCGTTAAGTACAACCTTTATTTGGCCAGTTAGCAACTGTGGCTTATGTAACTTTGACTCCCAAAGACACCATTTTAAACTAAAATTAAAGTAACCACACAGACAGTTGCTGGGCATTGCTGACTGAAGATTGCTCTAAAGCTGTTGAAGTTGTATCCCCCAAGAGTGCTCTGTTCACTGCACAGCGCAAGTTGAACAGTGGCAGGAACTGTTTATCTGGGAGTTGAATTAGTTGTGGGAGAAATGAAAACTCTTGTGAATTGAAATGTGTGCCATTAACTGCTGAGACTCCACTGTTACGGCACAAGTTAGTTTTTATGCTTCCTCTATTCTTTCAATTTTCCTCTGTACTATTTTGTGCTAGGGTTGTGTCTTTTGTGTGGACGTTGTTATACTTAAAATACTTACTCTTAATGTGTTCTCCTTGTTGTTTCCCCAGCATAATCTTGACACCACTACAGCATCTTTTTGGTGGAAAGAACTGACCTGGAAGCCCTAAGTTGTGGAAAAGTAAACTTGCAGGGTGACTGTTGGGTGGGATTGTTTCCTGTGTTGTTCAGCTTTTCACATTACTTGTCTCAGCTTTGAAATGCTTTAAATGAAGTTCTACCTTTTTTAATTTTCAAATTAACATACTGGAGATATTGGGTTAAAGTGTCTTTTTTCTTCACAACCTTGAGTGTCTTGGGAAAAGAGCAACATGCTTTAAGATTCTGATCCTTGAGTGTCATAAATTGGGAATTTTGCAATTAAAAATTCTGTGAGATTCTAATAAAAATCAACTAGCATCACCCTGGGACTCTGTGGTAATCCATCTCACGCAGGCAGAAAATGTCCTTTTCCTCCCAGAAGAAGCAGAGGTTTCTGGTATCAGATGGACTCTTGTACTATGCTTCACACCATTAAAAAAATGAAAATTGGTGAAAATATTTTGGATTATGTTCTTACCACCACACTACAAGTTGTGTAATTATTTACGCCTTCAATAAGTAGTGAGGTGAGGCTGGGAGTTGAGATTTCAATTGGGATGCTCAGGCAGCTTTTTGCCATCACACCAGTGCATTTACGACAAACATCACTCTTCAGCCATCTCCTGAGCTAAGGCACCATAATCATGTTACTTGCACAGTGCTGGGCTCACACCTAACACCAAGTAGTTGTTACTTTGCCAGTACTCTATGTGGTACCTGACAACACCCTCGGAGCATGTCCAGGCAGACAGACTTTCTCCTTGCAGGAGAAGGCAAGGCACTGCACAGTATAGGTGCTCTCAGCTTGCTCTTGCCAGTAAGAGGACTGGGAGAACTCCAGCCGGGAGTAGGCATCTCTTGCCCCAGGCAGAGGCTGACCACAAGTGACCTGTTCAGATGCAGGACGGTGCAGTGGGTCTGCCTGAGAGGATGGTTAAACCTCTTCTGCACATGAACCTGAGGAGGGAACTGTGATAAGGGATGGAAAGCCCTAAAAATGCAAACAGAAATGCCTGAGAAAAATGGAGAATAAGAAATACATTGTTCAGGGGAGAGGAGAAAAATGAAGGAATTCCCTTTGCTTCCATGTTTCCCTTCTCAGCAGCAGTGTCAGGGTGCCTGTGGGCTGCCTACCTACACAGCTCTGTGGCTCCCCCTCAGCTTCGCTCGCAGCTCTTCTCCCCAGAGACTTCGCCAGTGCAGAGCTGCTCCAGCCCCTGAAGCATCTCAGTGGCCCTTCTGTGGTCTCACTCCAACAGGCCCACATCCTTCTTACGCTGGGAACCCCCAAAGCTAAACACAGTACCACTGGAGCAGAGGGGGAGAATTGCCTCCTTCAAGCTGCTGCTCACACCTCTTTTGCTGCAGCCCAGCATAGGGTTGGCTTTGTGGGCTGCATGTGTACACTGCCGGGTCATGGTAAGCTCTGCACCCCCAGCAGCCCGAGTCCCTCTCAGCCCGCTCTCAGCACAGCCCGGTTTCAAGCAGCGCGGCTTCAGCTCGCGCAGCAGCCGCCGCCTGCCACGTAACCCCCATCTAAAGAGGGACGTTGCCAGGAAAACGAAGAGAAACAAGCCCTCCCCTCCCCTCCCCTCGCCACCCAGGGAGCTGGCAGCGCGGCGTTGTCAGGGCAGCGGCGGCAGCTTTAAAGGCGCCCTAACGGAGCGGTGTCCGGTGCCGAGGGCATCGGCTCGGGGGCGGCCGGGGCCGGCGCACGGAACAGCGACAGCCCCGGCCGGCCAGCAGCGGCCTGCGAGAGCTGGTTACCAGAGCGCGGCGGGGCTCTGCAGGCGGGTTCGGTCAGTGGCCATCATGGCATCCACCCGGCATCCAGTGATCGGCGTCCTCCGTACCTGCCGGAACGGTTGCCTCTCCGCCCGAGGCTGGGTGTACTCCAGCACAGAGGAAGTCTGACAGAGCTGAGCCAGGGGCTCCAGAGGTAACAAGAACCAACAGGGAAAAACAGTGACATCGTCCAAGAGTTCGGGTTGGAAGTGATATCCAAAGCTCATCCAGTCCAACCCCAGCAATGAGCAGGACATCTTCACCTGGAGCAGGTTCCCAGAGCCCCTGTCCAGCCTGGCCTGGAATGTCGCCAGGGATGGTGAATCCACCCGCTCTCTGGGCAGCCTGTGCCAGTGCCTCACCACCCTCAGGGTAAAACATTTCTTGAGTCCAAACTAGATCCTTTCGTTCAAACCTTCACCCCTTGTCCTGTCACAACACACCCTGCTAAAAAGTTTTTCCCCATTTTTCTTACAGGCCCCCTTAAAGTATTGAAAGACCACACTAAGGTCTCCCTGGAGCCTTCTCCAGGCTGAACAGCCCCAACTCAGCCTTTCCTCAGAGCACAGGTACCCCATCCTTTCTGTGTTCCTCTTCTTGACCTGCACCAACAGGTTCCTGTTGTCTTGTGCTGGGGACTCCAGAGCTGGACATAGCACTCCTGGTAGGTTTCCACCAGAGCAGAGGGGCAGAATCATCTCCCTCCACCTGCTGGCCATGCTGCTTTTGATAACTGAGGGGATTGAAGGTGTGTTGCTCAAAGAAAGTGACATGGCTGATGGCACAGCTGAGGTACCTCTACATCCACGCACACAGCATGGGCAACACCAGGAGGAGCTGGAAGCCAACTCTGCATGTTGCTACAAAGCTGTGATGTTGTTGCCATTACTTAAACTTGGTGGGATGAACCCCATGAGTGGAATGCAGCTATCAGTGGCTGCGGGCTGTTCAAAAGGGACAGGGAGGAAAGAGGGGGGAGGGGTTGCCCTATACTACAGGCCACTGGATCAAGGGAAGCCTGTTGATGAAGCCTTCTTACTCCATTTACAGGAAGCACTCACAGACTCTCATCCTGCTGGGAATCATCTTGACAGCCCTCTTGCCGGCTGGTGGGAAAGTAGCACGGTGAGCTGTAGGCAATGCAGGGGACTCCTGCAAAGCTCTGAGAACTTCTTAAGCCAGGTAATAGCCCTACCAGAGGGGATGCAATACTAGACCTGATGGTCACAAACACCATCAGTGACGTCACAACTGGAGAGTCTGGGCTGCAGTGATCACGCGCTGGTGGAGTTCACAGTCCTGAGGGATACGCGTCAGGCAAAGAGGAGAGTAGATGCCTCATTTTAGGAAAGGAAACTTGCCTCTGTGCAAGGAGTTAGTCAACAGGACCCCCTGGAAAACTGCCCTCAGGGGCAAGGGAGCAGGGTAGAGCTGGCAGAGTTTTACAGATGCTTTCCACAGCACAAGAGCTCTTGATCCCCAGGTGTAAGAAATCAGGAAACGAAGGCATGAGACCAGCAGGGATGCATCAAGAAGGGCTTCTACAGGTATGTCAGCCAGAACAGGAAGGTCAAAGAAAGTGTAACCCCCCAAAGAACACAACTGGCAAATGAGTAACAATGGGTGAGAAGGCTGAGGTACTCAACAGCTTTTTTGTCTTTGTCTTCACTGACTTCTCTTCCTATGGTGTGAGAGTACAGAGATTGGACAGAAAACACTGCCCCTTGTGTTCCAGCCAGTCCTCAGAGCTCAGAGGGGCTGCAGACACCTGGGATTCATTTCTGATTATCACCAATTGAACATGATCCATCCAGTCGAGTTCAATCAGAACTGTTACAATTAAGGATTCACAAATAGTGAGGTTTACTGAAGCACAGAAATACAGATTTGGAATTGCCATTGGTAAGCTCACTTCCTGCACTAGCACTAAAACCCAATGATTAATGCAGCTCATATGGAGGAAAAAAAAAAAAAAGCAATTGCAAATTCATTCAGTTTAGGTCCACCCAAGTATTATCCAGCAGAGTTGGAGATGCGAATCTTGCCAAAGAGGTGTCCCTGCTTTGTAGAGGAGAGAGGAGCAAGGCCATCTGCAGGTATTCTCATCCTCTGCCATGGAGGAGCTGGAATGCCAAATTTATACTTTTGAGAGAAGTGGAGGTGAGACTAGTCAAGTTACCTGTTGCTGATGTCATGGATGGGAGGAGCAACCACTTTCTCACTTTGGTGTATTTATTTTATGTAAATGAGGGATGAGGGCTACCTTCAGTCAGGCTGCTCAAGGGCTGTGGGTATTACAAGGGTGGAACAGAGCTCTGAAACATCACTCTCCCACTCTACTGAGGCAGCATTAAGGGCATCAGGATTAAGGCCATAAACCCCAACCGCAGCCCGTCACCCCTATCATGGTGTTGCACCAGACCTCAGCAATCCCTTCACCTCATGGCCTCGTTCCTACACATCCCACATCATCCACTCCAGTGGATGGGACTGCAAGGACTGAGGGAGCAAAGTCCCCCCACAGTAAGAGATCAAATTCGAGACCACCTGAACATACGTAAGTCTGTGGGATCTGACGAGGTCACCCCAGAGTTCTGAGGGAATTGGCAGCCAGGTGAAGTTCTTGTGACTGGAAAAGGAAAACACTGCACCCCTTTTTAAAAAGGGTTGAAAGAAGGACCCTGGGAACTAACAACCTGTCAGCCTCACCTCTGTGCTGGGGAAATCACGGAAGAGTTCCTCCTAGAAGCTAGGCAAAAGCACATGAAGGACAGGGAGATGATTCGAGACAGAAAGCATGGGTTCACCAAGAGCAAGTCCTGCCTTAACCAACCCAATGGCCTTCTATGATGGAGTGATTTCATCAGTGAACAAGGGAAGAGCTATGGATGTCAGCAATTTGGACATCTGTAAGGCCTTTGACATGGTCCGCCCAGCTGAGAGGAGGCTCAGGTCGAATCCAGAGAAGAAAACTTCCTCCAAAAGAGAAAAAGCATCTTTCTTTACTCCGTGGAAGTCCCTAATCTTCCTCTGGTCCCCATATTAAGAGGCAACAAACTCATGCTGGAGAAAATACCTATCTCCAAGGAAAAAAAAAATCCTCTCGGCTGTACTCCTTGGAGGTGTCCGGGACTGATACACCAGCTCCCTGACCTCTAACGGATAGCCCAAAAGATTCCAGTATATTCTTGGGAGGAACACTGGATGGATCTGAGAGGACAGTGTAATGTCCAAAAGAGGAGAAATATATTGGGTATCTTCCTTAAAGGACACTGGGGCTACCAAATGAGATATCTGGTCTCATAAAAAAGGCTCTGGGAGATACCTGGGAGGAATGTAAGTGCATGCCCAAGGCAAAGATTCCTAGAAAAAAAAAAAAAAACAACAAACATCTCAGGGATCTTGCTTAAAACTGTCTGGGAATGCTACCCAAGATCTCACGTTCATAAAGAAGATCCCAGTATAATTTGGGATATGCCATGGAGGAGCCTTAGGTGAATCTCAGATAAGGGAGCTTCCTCCAAAAGATGAAAAGT